CAAATATGAATATATGTGTATGTATAATGGTAGCCAAAACTGCAGATCTTATTAAAAGTCATAAACAAACTGACAAAAAAAATTGAAATATGAAAAGTGAGCCAACCAGCCCCGTCTCCCCTATGGTTTATATTTTACCATGGACCCAAAATGGCATCATTTATAAAGAGCATGGTTGACGTTTCTATATTGCTCAAATAAAGAAATTTTATAAATAGCGAACGTTCTGGTTTGTTAAATGGTAACCAAAACATTTGAATAACAAATTTTTGATGTGCTTGTTGTATTTGGTAAGAATATAACTCAATTTGTGATTATATACTTATACTTTATATCTGGAGATGTAAATTTGGCGTGTAAATTTATATGTCCTCAGACGTGGACAAAGTTACTAAACGTCATCATGATTTTTATACTTCTATATTTCATTTGCAGTTATAATCAATCAAATATGGGTTATACTATCTCGATTTATTAAGGAGGACTAACCGATGATAAAATTTTAGATATGTTACTAGCAGATGATGAGTTTGTAGTAGATGATGAGTCTGTAGTAGATGATTTTTCTAAGGAGGGAAATGATAGAGTTGGATTCAATAATAATATACAAGGCGACTCCAATTCATATCAATCCCATAGTGAAGAAATAGAGCAAGAAGCTGATTTGAAAGAAAATGAGAGTAAAATAACAAAAGTGTTATTTTGCAATAAGTACATCACCTAAAAAAAATCCAATGGAAATCTAATGAAACTTATCAGACTCGACCAATTCTATGACATGAGGCTGAAGTCTCTGATCTTAGACTAGGTAAGTCTCTGATGTGCATGATGTGTCATCCTCGATAGAATACTTCAAAAAGAATAGGTATATTGTTTTAAATACAAAATCTTGTCATAAAGTGATAATGTCCACAAATGTGGATATGAAATCATTTGGGTGGGGGATAGAAATTTTTGATTTTTTTTCCCCATTTTTTTTTTAAAATAGATTATTTTGTTTGAGAAATATTAGAATTTAAAAATAAAAAAATATAGATTGGTGACTGAAAGGGTTAATTCGTTTTTACACTGTCAAACATTTTGAATATTACAACTACTATTCTTGTTTATTAAATATAATCAAATTAGAAGCAAATGCTCAAATTGACGACTCTCAGCTCACACTGTGAGATAGACGAGCAGTGGAACTCTTCCAGAAAATTTTCAATAACTTTCGGAGTTATTTGCGCCATTTCGATCTGTATGCGTTCTGTGTGTTCATCAGTAACGGCTTACCTGTAAAGGCTGTAGGGCTACAGCCCCGCAGTGGAGAAAACCAATTGATATAAATATAATATAAACATTCATTATATTATCTATCAATACCTTTTTAATAAAAAAATATATTCTACGTATTTTATAACTTTTATACGCCTCCTTCTGTTTCGGTTGTTTTAATCATAATCTGGCGTTCAACATATGTTCCGTTACTTGTGACATATTATTCACTGACGTTGCTGGCTGGCTAGCTGTAAACAAGGAAGGACTAAAACTTGTGAAGCCCTCAATTCAGGTGTTCGGACGGCAGATCTAGCGACTTCTGTCATATTTGGAGGTTACAGATACCGAATTTTTATACGCTAAAGGACTACGAAAATGTCCGCCTTCGTCCCATTCCAGACACCATTTGGACAATACAACATACGTTGGTGTTATGTTATATCGCTACAGACCAACTGAAAATATTTGTAAATTCTAGAATATTTATTTATGCTTTTCATAGCAGTTTCTGTTTTTTGAATGTAATATGAAACTCTTAATTTGTTCTTTTTGTATTCTAATATTTTATAAAGGGTGCATCATATATTCGGACGACAACGCTCTACCATAACGAAGTCTCTTTAACTGACGAATTTTGATATTGGAACATGAAGCCTTAAAGAGCTTAGTTATTAAGGTACAGGGTGTTAAAAGTTTTAAATCAAAATTCAAAATTTGCCATAAATCAAAAACGTTTTTAAATATTTTTTCAAATTTTATCTACCAAGATCTTGTCAAATACATGAACTATTAAAAATTTGATAGGTATCTAGTAGATTAGAATTTAGAAATATTAAATCGTTTTAGATGATCTAAGTGCATGCATTGTTCATTTTTGCTTCATAGAAGGTTTTTACTTTTTTAATCAAAGAAAATTTGAAAAAAAATAAAAATTAAATAAAAAAATGTAGAAAATAGGGGAAAAAGTTGCCATTAACCTTGATAGCGCGCTACTGGTTACATTTTTCAAAAGTTTTAATACCCTCTATCTCGGTAACTAAGCCCTTATCGACTCGGTAGCGTAGTTGTCTCGCGCGCTTATATTCACTTATAGGCAATTTTGAGTTTGAGAGACAAAGCTGTTTCGAATCCTACGGCAGACCATGTACATTTTTAATTAATTTTCAGTAATTTAATTTCTCACGATGTGGCATCTAGACTTCAAATCGCCATGAGTTACCGTTTCGATGATGGTAGGTGAGGTTTTGCGGATTTTTCTCACCTGTAAGTCAAATGGTACCATCAATCATCTTTAAGTCGCCCCGGAATGCCGCGGAAAATAATACTACTACTAATAATAATAGCTGTCCCTTCCCTACACAAGCTCAGTCGGCTTCAAGGGTTGAAATTTACTAGTAAGGGGGTGAATTAGGTAGAGTACCTATTATCATTTTGCAGATGATGAGTTACTGTAAAGAGATATCACAGCAATATTCAAATACTGTCATATTAACGATCTCTAATTCAATATACCTGAATGTAATATAATCACTTACACCTGGAAGAAGAACTCCATCATAACGGATTATAAAATTTACAATACCTCAATAAAGAAAACAAACGAAAAGAAAGATCTAGGGGTGGTTTATTCCTCATATTTTAATTTTAATAAACGTATAACAATATTAACAACATACTTCTATAAAAGACTCGCATTTATTCTCAGGGCTTGCCATTTCTCTACCGAAACATGCAAAGTTCTATAAAATGCATGTATACGATCTAAAATAGAATATACCTGTATAATTTGGTCACCCAAAACAATCCTTTATAATGATACCTTGGAAAAAGTGCAGAAGCGTTTTGTCAGAACCCTACACATGAAAAAATATGGAGACTACCCTTACGTATTTCTTACCAGAGCCAGTTAAGATTTTATTATTGAAACACTATTTAGCAGAAGGAGCAAAGCCCAATTTACATTTATAACAAATATTATATATGGAAATTTTAATTTACACGAATTACTAGCCTCCTTCAATTTTAGCGTACCAGATATTCGCCTTAGGCAAAGATACACATTATTTTCCAACAATAATTTATTCTCATCTATTGATAACTCTCTTCAAATACTAGATCGGTTCCTGATTAGCAGTAACACTGACCTTTTTAATATGTCTTTCGACAAATTGAAATTAATATTTGATAAACATACATTTTAACAAGAACTATTATAACTTATATAACTTTTAATATTATCGATATTATATTTTTTATTAATCATCAAAATTTATCAATTAACGACAGTTTTCTAAGGTAGAGCGTTGTTGGTCGAATATACTAACAAATATCTTAAGTGCATTTTAAAAGTAGCCCCCGTAGATAAGATCACGAACCGCCATTGGTGTTCATCGATATTCGGCGATTTAGACAAATGACACGATATAAAGGTTAAGCCATTGTTGTTTAGGCAAATAAATGGTTTCTTTCGTAGTTTCTATTTTTTCACGCAAGGTAAACAGGTAATACAGTATGACAAAAAGTAACGAACAAATATTAACAATAACTAATTAGAACTACGCCACAATGTCCAACCTTTTATTTGTAACGTGTGCAGAGTCATGTGTCATGTGTCATGTGCATACAATTCCATCTGTATACTAAGGACTTGTTATGGGTCAGCATGAGTCAGATGCGACGAAAGTACCAAATCTTGGGATACCTACCCCAGACATTGCAGTGTATTGTCTAATGATTGTTATTTTTATTGTTAAATTTTCTGTCTTGTATGAATGGATTATTTATACAATATGCATGGGATTAATCATTCGCAAACATTTTGTTTATCAAGCCTTCGGTTCAGACAGTGTCAAACGCTTCGGCTGTGTCAAGAGCCACCAGTAAGTACTGTTTGATTTTTGTCATTGGTAGCTTTTTTGGCTTGATGCGGCACGCTAATGACTTGATCAACAGTATTGTATCTTCCTCTGAACAAGTACTGTTCCTTCGGTATGATTTGTTTGTCATGTTCTATTGTGTGTAGCTCAGGTGTGTAGTCGATTGAGTAAAATCATGCCTATAATTTTGTCGAAACCAGTAAGGAGAGAAATAGGTCTGCAGCTTTCTATGTTTTTAGAGTTTTACCGGGCTTAGTTTTTGGAATAATTGATGTTTTCGTTGGCAGACAAATTGCCGTTACAAGGTCAGTTTATATAGCCAGTAATATAGAAGCAGGATTTTATTTCAAAGGAAACTGAAATTAGTCGTTTCGACAATTAGTCTAAGGTTACGGCGTTAGAATAAATTTCTTCTTTTGTCCTTGTCTTCTTATATTAGTGTTTTTAAAAGTGTTAATTTTATAGAAATAAGCAATAAGAGCCATAACACGCGCTTCTTGGTAGGCCAGGTAGACCTCAGATAGTGCTAGTGTAAAACTGAACCCATACAGTTAAAGAAGAAAACAAAGAAAAAAGAAGAAATGTATGCTCAACCGTAACCTTAGACAGATCGTCGAAATGAGTTTTAATGACTGCATTTATATTATAATGTAATATAATTGAACGATGGCTTTTTTTCATTAGGTTTTTCAGCAGCATTGGGCCCTTCCGATGTGTAGCCTATTAATCGCTTCTCTAACCTCTTCAAAGGTAGTTAGATCTCGATTACGTATTGCAGGTCAGGTACACTCCAAAATCAGTGAAATGCGCAATACATTATCAGGTGATTTGAAATCTAAAGAAAAATAAAACATGTTTACTTACGGGTTTTGAAAAAATGATATCATTTTTTAATGTAATACTTTTGTTCTGGTATACCAATTCTTTTAATAAATCTTCAATATTTTTGTTGTTTACTTTTCCTTCGATGTTAAGTGATTGAATATAGGAAAGTCTCTTAAAAACCATATCTCCTAAAAAATGTTCAAATAGACCATTGTTAAATAAAAAATATTGATTTAATAAAATATTTTTTTATACGCAGTTTTTAAATCAGACATAAACATCGTCTATTTAGCATTATCGCTTTGTCTCCATCGTAATGGTTTTATGTTTTACACAATGATTTCTTTTTACTTTCACCTACATTTGAAATAGAAGCCTGTGTTGGTCACTGGCTTATAGAATTATTCGGATAGAGCCTACAAAGATCAAAGCTGATAGTTGGATACTAAGATAACATTTTATTCGTCGAGTGTTGATAAGTACAATGTCAGATTTATGGTTAGGAAAAAGATGCCACCACGGTGACCCTGCAAGAATATGCACATTTAATATACACTAAAATTTTGCCAGCTCGTTCTAAAGCAATGACCAGGCAAACATTTGTGGCTACAGCAAGAGCCCTAGCAGCAAATCTACAGGACTGATGACATTGTCGTCTGGGTAACCACATGAGAAGGATCTCTGAGCAATCGGAGAGAAGAATAGGTCTGCAACAAACATCGGACATCGATTCTGGAGCGTGGCAAATGAATATGCAGAGCACATTTTATATACCTGCTCCGCTTTGGAAAGAAATAGGTTCCAGATCTCCGGATTAATCCAACTGGAGCGTACCGACATTAAACCAGTCTCAACCAATTCAACCATTGTACGATGCATTATAAGTTAGACATGAGCCATAATAGATCCATTTGGGTCACAGTGAAAGACGATGAGATCATCTCACTCATTTTCAACCTAACCTAACTAGCAGCAGCAAGCCCACAAAATAATTTTCATTGCATAGGGGTAGTTTATTTTTTTCCCGATAGCTGCAATAAATTTAAAGTAAAACTTTCAAATATTATTTTTATTTTAGACCGATCAAATTACTGTATATCAATCAGAAACATTTTTCAATTGAGATAAATACACCCAAAACCAGATCGTAATACAGCGGTTAAAAAAATTAATGCCTTCCGAACGAATCACAGGATAGAGAAGAAAAAAGTCAACAGTGGCTAACGCGTTGTCGTCGTCCGACAATAACATGGTTCAACTTTAAACTGGCACAATGTGCAATAGGGTGGAGCGATAATCGCAAAATTTTAAAAATTTGAAAAATCGATTTCGAATACCTACCAAAAGTTACCTTTCATAATGTTGACAAAAATGTATTAATATAACTTTTTGATCAACTCTCATCTTCTGCCCTCTACCAGCCATTGAAAAATTACAAAAAAAGACAAAAAAAAATTGCTGGAATAATTACTAAAATTTAAGCCATGTGATTTTAAGATATATTATGTATAATAAAATTAATTTATAACATTTTTCGCCATATACACAGTGGCTTGCAAATGCGACATTTTTGAACAATGTTCTTGCGATAAGTAAAAAAAGATACCTAAAAATGAATGGGATTTTTTACTTGATCAGAGGGGGGCCTAGAAAAATGATTATTGGAAACATTGATGTAAAGGAAACCTCAAAGCTGATAAATAAGGGGAGCAGAGTGGACAAATTCATGCAAAGGAAAGAACTAGAACAATCCGTCCAACATGCAAGCAACATCAATTTATCATGAAAGCGAAAGCCAAAAACTGATATCAAGATAGATCATGAATTATCTTCCACTTCCTATGACAGTATCAATACAGATACCTATGCAGTGTACACAAAATTACGTCAAACTTCCCACCTTGGCCAAAGTTTGTGACCGCTATGGATTATCGGATAGATCTGCAGCAGTAGTGGCAACTGCAGTGCTACACGACCTTGGAATTGTTTCCAATGCCAATACAAAAAATCTGATGTGTCCAACACATGACTTTCCTATCTAGTTATTATAGGCTTTTTCCGGTTATTTTGTACAACCAATTGCAGCAACTCTATAAATGTTTAGAGGATAAACTAAATATATACATTGTCCACATACATCTACCTCAAAACATTTTTCTATAGATATTCATTGAAAACGAAAATACTGAAAAATTTAAATTTAGCACTTTTCCATTACGGTCCATTTTAGAAAAATCATGTATAAACAAAAATTATAGAGATCGATAGTTCAACAATTTTCATAAAAATCAGAATTTTGCACATTTTGTCAAATTTCTCGGACCATTTATAATAATAATAATAATAATAATAATAATAATAGCCGTCCCTTCCCCTACACAAGTCGTTCAGTCGACTTCAGGGGTTGAAATTCACTCGTAAGGGGGTGAATTAGGGGAGAGTATTATTATTATTATTATTATTATTATTATTTCAGGAAATTTTGACATAAAACAAAAATTATAGATAATAATATTAGAAGTAACTTTTATTTGAACAATTTTCTTCTCCAAACATAAATAACAGATATATTCCATAAAATATAAAAACGGCCTCTCATAAAGTACCCCCCTAGATATTCCGACTTTGTCCAAAATCTAATCATTTCACGTCAGGCTGAAATAAACCTTAAGTTTAAAATTTAATGTTTTTTTCTTTATCCGTTTTTGAGTTTTCTTCAAAATTCGAAATTTACACATTTTCTCAAATATCTCGAATACGGTCCATTTTAGAGAAATTATGTATAAAATAAAAATTATAGAGAATTATATTACAAACAACTTTTATTTGAACAATTTTTATAAAAAAATATTTTTTACACACACACACACACACACACAAACACACACAAACACACACAAACACACACAAACACACACACACACACACACACACACACACACACACACACACACACACACACACACACACACACACACACACACACACACACACACACACACACACACACACACACACACACACACACACACACACACACACACACACACACACACACACACACACACACACACACACACACACACACACACACACACACACACACACACACACACACACACACACACACACACACACACACACACACACACACACACACACACACACACACACACACACACACACACACACACACACACACACACACACACACACACACACACACACACACACACACACACACACACACACACACACACACACACACACACACACACACACACACACACACACACACACACACACACACACACACACACACACACACACACACACACACACACACACACACACACACACACACACACACACACACACACACACACACACACACACACACACACACACACACACACACACACACACACACACACACACACACATTGTGAATGCAAAAACTAAGGGTAATAATAGTTCAACCAATATCAGACCTTTTATTATTCCACAAATTAATTTTGACGCAGATGACTATATTGATCTGATTGATTGGCAGAAAATAAAATAACTTGTCCCTTATTGCTTCAAACTTGAGAAGTGGATGATTTGAAAAATATTATTTCCAGTTCTCCTGAAAACCATGGGAAGAGCAAGGGAATAAACGACGGATAATTAATTTAGTTATGCAAATAAATTTTTCTTTTATTTTTAATTCGTCCCTACACATTATTATTTTGCATTCAATAATATTATATAAAATTGAAATATGGTGTTAATGCAAACTATTCAAAAATATGGACATTATTGTAATTTCTTGCATGTACTATATTGGTGTTTCAACCTAATCGATACACCCTCTGGTTGGAAACGTTACAAGTAGACTATAAGGTACCTATTCAGTAACTCTGAACGACGTCGTTAATAGACGATAATCGTTCACAGACGACTTTTCTTATTTAGTAGACAACGATTATCGTTAGAAATAGACAAATATGGTTGCAAAATTGTTGTTCATCAACGATAGCCACAGAGCTATGGTTAATATAATGAAGTGTCGTTATAGTCACTTTTCCATCCCCTTCTATTTTAAAATATTTATTAGGTTTCACCGAAGGCCAGGATGTTTTATAAATAATAAAAGCACTACAACTAAATGGCCATTGACCTAGTACAGCAAGTTTGCGACCTCGGGGGTTGCCGCTCGAGGTGTGGAGGGACGAAAACTCTGCGTCGCGACGCTTTTCGGGAAGTAGCACCGTGGTGGTAAGTGCTATCGAAAAAAAGTTTTAATAAAATATGTATAGGATAAAATCGTGCACAATTTTGACCTCTACATTTTTTTGTTTGCGACAAATAGTTCCCGCTCTACGACGCGCCAAAGTATAGGGTTGATTTGCAATGTTAAAAAAAATGAGAATTTTAGCGCAGATTACGACGAAGATCGCTATAAAACAATTATGTAATATTTGTTTATAAAAGAGTCATGATTTCTGTGTCTGCAGATACATTTGGTCGTATATAATAAATAATATGATGTTTTGAAGCACGCCCCTGCATATTCCGATGTAAACATTTTGTAATTATCAGAATCTACGGTCAATATTTCCTTATTATTGTTGACCTAGGCGCCAAATTTATTCTTTTTGTGCATATATAATACAAGAAAGTATAATTTTCAACTCGTTTCCACACCATCCTTGAGGTAGAGCTGATCGGCGCGTTTTTTTTAACGTGGTATCCTCAAGAGGCCTAATCCATAGTCCATTTGGGTTTATTCGTCAAACTCAACGTTGTACGTTTGGTCTTCATCGTCCTGTAACTGATCGAGAACGTTTTTGGCATCTTCTGCATTGTCATCGTCTAACGCAATCAGGTCTGGAAAGTTTTTGCAGGACATCCCAGTACAGTGCAACCACAGAATCGAACATTTCAATCCTATTTTACGGCAACCACAAGCAAATCCACAACCTTTCTTGCATCTGCACGAAATACTCTTAAGTAAAACATCTGGAGCTGGTTCTTTTGCCATCCGTACTGCGTCCAGTAATGTGCTTGTTCTTCGCCATCCATGATCTTCTGGAGGTTTCTGAACTCCCCGCCAGCTCTGTACTGGACAATAAGTACGTAATGAATGATGATGGCATGCATCTGATGTTGGTGGTAGCGCTGCTAAATTGAGATTTTTTGGATTCATCGAAGAGTATATCAGTCCTGTAGTGCTGCTTCGAGTGGCGGTTTCTTTCAGCAGGTATCTGCCTTTTTTAGTCGTTACATATTAAAAAAATTGCAAATTTTATCCACAATTTACTATGTAGCAAGGAAAAGAATTAATAAATTACATACTCGTAAATAATAATAAATATTCGTAAATAACAATAAATAATAAGTTAAGGCCGAACAAGGGGCACGTATGCTATACCACAAACAGGATATTCATGACAACTAATGCACAAAAATAATAATTTTGGTGCCTAGGTCAACAATAATAAGGAAATATTGACTGTAGATTGTGATAAATAAAAAATCTTTATATCGGAGTATGTAGAGGCGCGCTTCAAAACTTTATAGCATTTATTATATATGACCAAATATATCAAATCGGGCATCTGCAGACTAATAAATCATTACATTTTAAGAAAAAAAATATTACATAATTGTTTCATAGCGATCTTTGTCTTAATCCGCACTGAAATTTTCATTTTGTTGAACCTTGTAAATCAACCCCCTACTTTGGCGCGTCGTAGAGCGGGAACTATTGGTCGCAAACAAAAAAATGAAGAGGTCAAAAATTGTGTACGTTTTTATCCTAATTGATTTGAACCTTTTTTCGTTAGCACTTACCACAACGGCGCTATTTCCCGAAAAGCGTCGCGACGCAGAGTTTTCATCCCTCGAACGGCAATCCCCAGAGGTCGTAAACTTAAGTGTAGTATCAGGGGACCCATGTCTACCATCCCACCAAATTCCATTTCTTTCCGACCTTTTGCGAATAGACCCCCTTATTCTTTACCCACCGTTTTGGACTACAATAGTAAAGAGCCCTTATTTTAGAAACAGAGAAAAATGTTACTTGAAAAACTTGTTTTAAAATCATTATTTATCACCAAATATGAACAGCCTGACACATCCGACGGGTCTAAAAGTAAAAAAAACCGGTCGAGGACTGCGAACGAAAGATCATTCGTGCACATAAGTCCTAGTGAGAGTATTAGTTGAGTTTATCAGCCATTAATGCTAATATACTCGTATATGTACAAACAATTTAAAAATCGAAGAATACAAAAAAATTAGAACTTGTAGAAGCTGCAGGATAATTAATTTAAATGAGCCATCATGACACCTTGTCACATATTAGGTCAAACTATGGTCAAACACTTGTCATTCTTTCGGTAAAATACGGTAATGAATTTAATATTTCGAATTATTCTGACACCGGCCCTGCACTAAGTAGGAGGATGGGGGATTGTAGAAATTAAATTGTAACTTTCGCTTGGAAAAACCTTAAATGGTGCCATTTTAAAGTTCATAATCTAATTTTGTTTAAATTGAACATCCTGTACATTAATACTTTTTTAATAAACCCCATCCTTTATCTATATAACGATGTGCTGAGTTTCAAAATCTTTTCGAAAATGGCTACAAAATTGGATCTAAAAAAAATGCTCTTATTTTGTCAATTTTGCATTATACCTATATTCAAAACTGTAAATATTGAAATCAACAATAAAAGACTTAATCAATTTTTATTGTTGCTTATTAGTGACTTACTTTTAATAAAATACTCTCCATCTTTAGAAACCATAAACATCTTTAGAAATTCCTTAGCAGGTATATCGTTAATTTCTTCTTTAACTTCTATATCTTCTACTGACAGATCACCTTCTATTTGCACAGGTCCTCGTATAATTTTATCACCTTCTTTAGTCAATATATGTTGTAGAGAAATGTTGTTAATTTTTTTCGTTTCGATAAGATTTTCGACATTAATGCCAGTTAAAAATTTTTTTGGAGCGTTGAATATTAAATTAGAGTCTGTTTGGTTTTTATAGACAATCTGCTTGATATAGTCGTTCCAGTTTACAGAACTAAAGTTTGTTAGTTCAAGTTGTTTCAAATAAATGTCATTCTGAAAAAATATTACATGAATATTTCGTATTTTTGATTCATATCTTTTCCAAAAACACATAGAGATCCGACCGTGTGATTACTGCACTCATCTGTTTTTTAATTAAAATACAATTTTTAAAGATAATTATTGATAGAGAAATATGGTTTTGCCGAGTTTTCTATCAAAATATGGCCGCAAGTAGGGAAGGTGTTGTATATACTTACCTTGGACCGAATGTACCTTGGACCAGTTGCAATATTTAATCCTAATACAGAATTATACACATCCACATTGAATGTACCTAATTGGCCACGCTTAAACTAGATGTCGTTACGTTAAATTTCAGTAAAAGTAACGGTAACTGCCGTTTATGAACATTTCATTTATTTTGTTGTGTTATAGTAAATTATTTGAACTATTTTAGTCAGTTATTACAAAGTTATTTAAAGAGTTCAGGCTACGCTATAAAAAAGGTAAGATAGTACTTATTAATCTTCCAAACTGTTTCTTAATGATAAAGAGAAACTTAGCCTAGATAAGTTAGAGTAATAGAATTTTAAAAGTCCAAGGTACATGCTTTCACGTGTGTGTGATAAATTGGGCTCTGTCAAGAAACAGCACTGAATAAAATAGCGCATATCAATAGATCACCTGAACAAAATGGCGCATATCAAAAGAGCACCTAAGCCAAAATAGCACTTATTAAAATAGCGTCAATCAAAACAGCACCCGATCAAAACGGTGACAAAACGAAACAGCGTTTGGAGCTATCACAGGGTGCATCGCAATGTTTTAATTATTAAAAGAAAAACTTAATCAATTAATCCAACCTATGCAGCCTGGAGCCATTTAAATTTAATTGACCGCTTATGCACAAGTTATGTAAAATAGTTAGGTGTTGGAATTGTATATCAAAATTAGATTCCTGTATATCAATACTTGTTTCTAATGTAACAAAAATTGAATATTATGATTCATGAACTAATAATGTTACTAAGAATTTAGTCACAGGTATTACTTAACTTACTTTATTAATTTAGTTAAATAAAATATTAATGGATATCAGTAAAAGTAAGAAATAAAAGTTTGTTCGTTAATTAACTAATTTTTATTTAATAATAATAGTGTTACCCATAACTTCTAACACAAATATAAATAATAGTTGAGTGTTTAAAAGTGCAAGTAAAAGTTAAAAATGGACACAAAAAAAATATGTAAAAGAGAAATGTACAGCCTTTGTATTACAGGAGCACTGATAAGTATACCGACAGCCTCCATGGAAATCATTCTAAACCTCCCACCCCTTGACCTAGTCATAAAGGGGGAGGCCAGAATGAGTGCATACAGACTGGAAATCTCCAACAACTGGAACCCACTGGGACATATAAAACATACCAGAATAACACATGAAGTAAATGATTCTATATTAAATATGAGATCAGATCACATGACACCCCTCCTAACCTTTAATAGACTCTTCCGAACGTTTATTTGGGATAAACAAAACCTCTGCTCAACAGGCAGTGAACAGGTGGACAACCACAAAACACCAAATTCACTGGCAACAGATAATAGGGCACATAATCAGTAAGCTCATGCTAAGGAGACCAAACCCACGCATGGCTAATGAGGCACTACAACTCGCAAGGCCTTAGATATCCACCATTGTGGGATTACTAACGGGGCACTGCTTGCTGAAACACCTTCATGTAATGGGATTACACAATGATCCAACTACGTGTAGACTTTGCATGGAAGAGGAAGAAACCTCATACCATGTGATCTTCGAATGCGAAGCTCTTACTGGGTAGGGAACCTATTAAAACTAACCAAAGACACAGGACTGTTTCAAAAATAGTACCTGAATACGGGGAAAGCAGGTGAATACAATAGACCCAAGAGGCAGTGTTCTGGGCCAAACCTAACCCTACCTACTTACAACCGATAAAGATAAAGATAAAGATAATACACAGCAATATAATGGTGAACGCTATAGTATATGGAAGTTTTGTGTTAATTCTTTGTTACTGGAATTAAACTTTTTAAACGTTGTCAAAAACGAAGTGCCAGATGTTCCCGATGAAAACTGGTGTAACCGCAATTTAGCTGCAAAAAGTATAATCCTCATATAACGGAGTTAACACTGCACTAGAGACACTAGGTGAAGATAATCTGAACCTTGTATTTGTTAAAACACGTTTATTGGATCAAGAAGTAAAATTAAAAACTGACACAACTGAACTTAAAGTTTTACATTTTGAAAAGAATACTCCAATCACATCAGATATAAATAATAAGTAGAATAAGGACAATTACTTTAAACCGAATTTCAATCTAAAGCGTAAAGCATGAATGAAGTCGCCGTATACATGATCAAACACGAGTTGTGAACATTGTGGAAGAAAAAATCATCCTAAGAAGAATTGCTATTACTACAAAACAAATGATGACAAATCAAAATGACCAATCAACCACCATACATTCAACCTATGAGAGACGATAAAGATAGTTTTGCGTTTATGTTATCCACTTTGAAGGCAAGCAGCAACCCAGGAGCCAACAACATCAATTTTCTGTTAGATTTAGGCGCCACGGACCACATAATTATAGTACGAGCAAGAGATATAATGTGACTTTAAAGCTTTAAACCGGCAACATAGAAAAAAAAAACTAAGGAGACTAATACATTACTTTTCAAAATAGTAGAGAAGAGTATACTTATTTTATTTTTACTTTCCTCGATAGAAGGGAAGTATTGTAATCGTGAAAATTTAGATTTTTACGTTTTCGTGTCCCTAGATTACGAAAAACGTTTTTCTCATACCGTCGGTCTGTCTGCCGTCCGCCGTCTGTTGTCTGCCGTCTGTCTGTTGGCGCGATAGCTCAAAAACGGCTTAAGACAAAAACTTCAAATTCTGTATGCAGGTAAGGCTTCCTCTTGGCATAAAACCGGTTATACTTTTGGTCAGATATATACAGGGTGAGTAGTTAAAAAAGAGCATTTATTTTTAAAAGTCAGCAGATTTCGACTAAAATTGGTTTCTGATAAAATTGGTATCTGATCAAAGATAACAGATCATAAATAATTTTTTAAAAATTCAAAATGGCTTCCCTCTTTTTATAATTTATACAGGGTGTTTTTAATGGTATGCTAATACTGTAGAGTGTGATTCCTCAGGTCATTTTATGAAGAAAAGTTCATATGAACATATGTCCGCACGGCTTCAACTTTTTGCTACAGGGAGTTGAAAATTTGTTTTTTAAAGAGATATTTTGTAATATCTCTGAAACTAGTTTAGATATAATTTTCAATTTTGGCATATGTTAATAGGATATAAAACCACATATTTTAGTTAGAAAATTTATTTTATTGCTCTACCAGTGGCATTTTTCCATGTTGATATTTTTACTCATTTGTCTGGTCAATTCTACATCAATACGGCATCTTGTATTTTTCTCGCCAGCCGCTCGGTTCTAGATTAAAATAATTCAAATTAATCGTCAATACTGCAAAATGAACAAATTTTAATTTAATTAATAAACGATAAGAAGTGGTGAAGTAATAGAATAACTTTTTCGTCTAAAGTATGTGGTTTTATATCCTATTAAAAATAACTTTATTAAATTGTTTCGTCCATAAAACTTTAAGAAGTTCTTCTTTTTTATAGCTTGAAAATACAAATCATTGTCCATTACTCTGAAATATAAAGTACTTGAAATTTTTTGAGTATGGTTCACATCAAGATGAAAGTACTTACGAGTACCAATTTTATTACTGAGTACTTTGAGTTGTCAAATACAAATTTAAGTACAACTTATACTCAAGTAATGCTCAGCTCTGTACGTGTAAGCAATGTCTCACCAAGCACAACTTTCCTCCGAGCTCCAAACAAGATCCCAGCTAGCACATTACGTTGCCAAGCTTTTCGGCGATGTTGTTTTAAGGGAACGTAATAACATTGCTATACAACGTAAATGCAACATTCATGAGAAGTAATTAAGGGAAAACAAAACCTCGCAAAACTTCTATTTATTACTTACCTATTTAACCTACCTGTTATGATAACACAACGTAATTCAGTAATTTGCCAAAAAAAAATATTCACAAAAGTATTGTGAACATCACATTAGGTCTTTTCCTTCGCATCGAAAGTGTAGCACTGAGCTACACCACTTCTGAAAATATCGTTCCATTTATACAAATTATATGGATGGAACAATATTTTCAGAAGTGACGTAGCTCAGTGCTACACTGTCAATGCAAAGGAAAAGACCTATTGTTATCGAACATAGCCATTCGTTTATGTCATAAGTCATAACAAAATATTTACATAAAACAGTTGTCACTTGTCAGTTTTTCTCTTGGTATATTATTTGAGATTTTAAACAATTTGTAAACTATTTAATTTATGCGTTTGAATTGGTTTGGTAAGTTCTTTTCAATAAAATAGAATTATATTTTCTGATCCATTGTCTGTTGTTTCAGATTGCAATATTTCAGTTTCCAATATTTCCAAATACAATAAATCATTGTAAACGGTAAGATACCTATATTTAACAATGATTGACTACATTTTACACCAAATACTTATAAAAGAGATTTACAAAACTAACTTCTGGGTTGGCCATATTTATTTTGATCCTATGCTTGACGCTGAACACGAATATTGTTGATAAACTTTCGCCAGGTGAACATTTTTTTAGCTCCCAACTATAAAAATACAAAAACAAAAGTCGTCCTAGCAAGGAAGGTCCTATCTGAAAATTTGTTGTTTCGATACAACCCATACAACTATTTTTTGTAGACATGTATTTATTATCTTTTAAACCTTTTTTTGTGTAACTCTTTAACGTTTTAGTACATTTACGATGCAAATAGGACATTCCGTTTCGGTATCAGGAAAGATAAAATGTAGACAACTGCACATAAATAAAAAAATGCTAATTTTGCAGATAGAACCGTTCTTGCTAGGAGAGCAGTATAGATGTGCTCATGTAGCTCCCTAAAGATAAATAACATGTTTATTTGTTACGTTTCAGTAAATTATGTATTACATTACTGGACAATAGTGGCGTTTTGCTGGACAAATACAGAATTTCACTGGACATATACCTATGTCATTTTGCTACACAAGATTAAATGCTGGACGGCCCTTGAAAATGCCGTACCTAGTGTAATAATATTCTTAATCAATAAAAATAGGTAGATAAATATATTTTTTTTAGCATCGTACAACTGCCATCTTGATAAAAGTCTAGTGACCTTTAAAATATACCTTATATAAATACACTTTTTAACTATTTTGTGCAATCGTTTTAGCTACTAATAAACGTTTGCAATATAGGTACACTTTTGTGCAATCACTCAGTGTTTTATATTCTAGTGAACCTTTGAGATATTCCTTAAATGCCATTTATACCTACTTTTGTCCAATTGTTTAGTGTTTTATACGTACCTTATGGTTTTGCACATGTGTAATTGCGTTACCTTGTGATATACCTATATTATTAATACCTACCTCTACTTTGTGATATTGGTACTTGGTTTCAAAAGCTTTTTAATAATAAATTTATACAATGTTTTATTTTGTTTTATTGTGCTTTTACTATATCCCCAATATACTATTTTACATATAGTGTGTCCAAAAGTGGACTTAACTATGCTTGGAAAAATATTTATTTAACATTTTTCAAAGGTCATTTTTTATCATTTTTCAACTGTAATCGTATTTATTTAATGAGCAGAAGAAATTATGAAGAATTACTTTTTTTTAATTTAAAATAAATATTTTTCCGTGGACACACTTTATAATGCTGTAGAATGAATTCACATTACAACATCTATAAAAGGTTTCAGAGCAACTTTCGGGGAAAGTACCGTAAAAGTACTAGTGTGATGTTTTCCGAACTTTACTGTGTAACCTCTATGAGATGTACTATAAAAGTCTTGCCGTTGCGGACATTCGGCGGTTGCATGTATATTAGGGTTACCTACATTAAAAGAACATTACATGCGAGCTTAAAGAGCCTAAAATTGCAGCTTATTAACGTAGATGGGATGTTTTTGTTCTAGCTGGGGACCTTTCGCTCAACATGTAGTGTTGTGCCAAGCCTACCGGTCCTAGCCGAAAGTCGGTAAATTAATATCGTTTTCTGTCGTTTCGTTCATTATAACCATAATAACGTAGTAATAAATTTCTCAACGCAAGTGTTTTTTTTTAAGTCAGTGCACATATGTGAATAAAAAGTGTAATCACTCCCATAAACAAGTGAATTAAATAGAAGTATTTTTTCATTGGTGTTTCATTTCATGGATAAAAAGTGTTTTAAGGTGAACCCATTACAGACGTATAGTACCGGCTTTAGCCGATAAATTTATAGGGGTCAAACCCCCAACATAAACAGTGATCGAAGTTCTATAATATGTTTTTGACAAGAGGTTACGGCAAATTAATGAAATTGTTCGAAAATATATTGAATTTTTAATTAAAAATACATTATTTCATAACTTTCATGACAAAGAAAATATTGAAAAAATTTAATTTTGCACTTTGTCTCAAATTTCTCCATTACGGTCCATTTTTGAAAAATAATATTTATGACCAAAATTATAGAGAACAACTCTTGTTAAAAAAATGTTCTTCTATAATCATAAATAATGGAACTATACTTTAAAGTAGAAAAATTACCCTTTATAAAAGTACTTGCACCATATTTTGATAGAGAACCTGACAAAACCGTATTTCTCTATTAAAAAATATGTATAAAAATTGAATTTTGATTAGAAAATAGATGAGTACAGTAATACAGTCGCATCTTATATACTAACATTGTTTCTTTACTTACTTCAAATATTAGTTTATTGCCGTTTTCTTTAGCCATTTCGAGTACATTTACAGGATAAATAACTTTAGTAGGTTTGTCGTTGATATTGTTTACATTTATTGAATCTTCTACATGCAAATCTAAAATAAACGTAAAAAAAATAGAAACATTGCATATTAATGCACTTCTTTGATTTACTCACTTTCTACTGTTAACTCTCCCTTATTCAATAAATCTTTCACATATTTAAGGAATGCTGATTCTTGGAAGATATTTTCATCATTGTCTTTTGTTAATATTAAATTATCAACTCTTGAACTAGTTACATTAAAAGTAGACATAATCGTTTGATTTTTGGTTTTACTGAGGTATCTTTTATAAATATTTTTTATATCAAATCCAGTTATTTTTCCATTTAAATCACCTGTAAAAAATATTAATCAGAAACTGAAAAATAGTCCATCCATCAACACTGTACAAAGGTAAACGAAAAGTAAAATCACTCGACAATGGCGCCTTTGATGTTTCAAAATAAAACACATTATGGCAAAGATAATTGATAACCATCCACTGCTCTATAGCAAACTGCAAAAGTCCGCATTATAGACCTTTATGTAATAGATTGTTGTAGACTTTTAACCATAATGCGAATTTAGATAATCCATATACAGGGTGGCCACTTTTTAATGGGATTGTATTAGTAATTTCCAAACCATACTAGTTATAAAGTCGGTTAAATGGAGAAAAAGTTGCGTATCTCGAAGCATAATCTAGCGGTACAAATTAATCGAAAATAACAGGCCCGGTTCTTGAGATATTTTGATGAAAGGAAATTCGATTTTTTAGATTTTTTGGTTATCATCGTTCATTTATTTTCAGAACTACTAAAAAATATTTTAAAGGTATTTTATTTGATAGTAAATTTTCTTTGATTTGACGTTTTCATATTTTGCATCCATCGTTTCGTATTCTCCGGGCCACCCTCAACTTATTTTTTTAAATATGAACTTGGATATTTTATTTGGGGAGACAAAACATTTACAAATTCTGGTATGTTCAATCGAAAAAATAAACATTTTTATGCCACGGAAAATTCTCACCTAATCAAGAAGTGAGACATCAATGTATTTTCTCTTTGAATATGTGGTGCGGCTTGTTAAATAATAAATTACTGGGACCATACTTTATTGACGGAAACCTTACTGCAGAAAAATATTTAGATATACTGCAGGACATGTTAGATGATCCTATAGAGTATAGTCTTAACAAAATCTGGTTCCAACAAGATGGATGTGGTCAACACAATTCAAGAATGGTCACGGATTATTTGAATCTTTTCCCAATTCATGGATTGGAACAAGAGGTCCAGTGACATGGCCTGCCAGATCTCCAGATCTGAATCCATTAGATTTTTATTTGTGGGAACGTCTCAAAAATAAAGTTTATAATACACCGAATGCAACAATTGAGATTCTCCGCGAAAAGATTGAAGATGCATTGGAAGATATCCAAGAAGAAGAAATAAGCAATAGCATAAGAAATATGAATATCAGAATCGCCAAGTGTATTGAAGAAGATGGCGGACATTTTGAACAATTACTCAATTAATTTTATTGACATTTTCAAATAATTTGACTTACAAAAACTGAATTTATTTTTGTTATTATCAGTAATTGCGTTTTAAAATTTCTACATTACTATTGTTTTTTTTTTTTATTTGGTGTCATCGGCATCAACTGCTAAGTTTATTAGCCTCGTGTTCTGTGTAGGATTTGTTACTGTTTCCCAGCTCCACTTTAGGAACAGCACTGTTAATTAGAACCCAACAGTGAATGGTCGAGTGGGAAATCCTACCAAGGCATCAGAATTAATTTTAAATAAATTAAATTAATTTAAAAAATCCCGGCTAACGGTGGGATTCGAACCTGGGACCCTTGGATCCACAGGCAGAGACTCTACCACTGAGCCACCCACCCCTCTACTATTGTTGTTGTTGATGAATTACATAAATTTTGTAAGAGTTGACTTTATATTTTTATCGAAAGGCATGACATTATGTTGATTCAACTGAAGATGTCTGAAACCAAGCGTAAATTTAATAAAATTTGGATTTCGGTCCATATTATCCAAAAACCGTCATTAAATGCCATTGTGTAATACACGGCTGGATGCAGGATGAAAAGTTATTTCAAATAGTGTTATAAAATATCCAGGTCCATATTTAAAAAAAATAAGTTGTGGGTGGTCCGAAGAATACGAAACGTTGGATGCAAAATATAAAAACATCAAATCAAAGAAAATTTACTATCAAATAAAAACCTTTAAAATATTTTTTGGTAGTTCTGAAAATAATTGAACGATAACCAAAAAACCGAAAAGATCGAATTTCCTTTTATCAAAATATCTCAAGAACCGGGCCTGCTATTTTCGATTAATTTCCACCACTAGATTATGTTTCAAGATAGGCAACTTTTTCTCCATTTAACCGACTTTCTAACTAGTATCGTTTGGAAATTAATAATACAATCCTATTAAAAAAGTGGCCACCCTGTATAAAGATGAATTATAGCTATTTATGAAATCATTTACGAAATGCCTTATTTTATGTAACTACTTAATATTTGCGGGACGAGCAGAGCGAGTCCCTGAAACATGAACAAGTTACATAAAACTGTATTTCGTAACGTGATACATACATTTTTTTCCTAATTTTGACTAGATTGTTTATAAAATTGTGTTTTGGAAAAAAATACTAGGCAACCACTATTATTACTTTTTTCTATTGTTAGTTGCGTATGATTAACTTCATTCTTTTATTGACAAATGGAAAATAATATTTATTTATTCTCGACCACTTATTGTAGTTTGTTTATATCGCTTGTTAAAGTTATTTAGATTTTTAAGAAACTGGGTTATTTTGTCGTACATTGTGTTTTAATTCTTTTGTGCTGATTTAGATTGGAAAATAAGGACCAACACAAAATTATTACTGGGTTGTAAGTTTATCCAAATTCTATGTTTATGTTAACCTACCCTTCTTTGATATAAATTTTCAATAATAACATATATTATTGATTTTCGCAACTGTTGACATATTGAATTTTTCGAAACCAGTTTCATAATGTCCAAATATTAATCAGAAATTAAAAAATAATCTAAATTCGAATAAAATAAAAACTAGGTAAAGTCCATTATGCAACTGGTTGCATAAAGTAGCTGATTTTTAACACTCCAAAAGCGTATTATAGAGGAAACAAAATAATTTGTTTGGTATTTTAATATTAAAAATTTTACCTATAAAATTAACTATATATATTTTTAAATATATGTTTAAATATATTTTTAAATATATTACCCTTACATTGCCCTATAAAAAGAGAAAAATATTATTTCCAGATTGTAGTTGGCTTATACTTAGATTAATACTGGTAAAATCAAGAGTAACCTTTTCAAGTTCCCCTCGTATATTAATCATTTGCGTTAGGGTCCATTCGGATAGAGAAGATCATTACAACACAATAATATTCTTGTATTATAGTAATTGTTTATTTAATTAAAGGTCGTTAATTAATTATCAAATTTGTTTCACGCCTCAAAAAAGTGGGATGTAATGGTATATTCTCTATCTGAGCTTACTCCAGATACCATGTAATTTAACATTATTAACTTGTAACAGCCGAAAAAAGAATACACATGCAATTATACAATTATATACAGGGTATTTTTTGACTGGACTATTTAGATTGGCTTTAGGTAAGTACTTACCATGTATTGTCAAATTTTCAACAATTAAATGATCAAACTCGATTTTTTTATCGAATTCCACTGGTTCCGTTATATACAAATATTCTTCAGCTTTGACATCATTCAGTTTTCTATCAATTTCCAAATTATTCGCTTCCAAATCGTTAAAACTAAGTACAGAAAATACAAATTGGTTTCCCGACAATTTTACTAAACTATCGTCCAACGTTTTTATATCTTTACCATCGTAAGAACCATTTACAAATAGATTTTTAATAATAGTGTTACCGTTTAATAAATTTATATCAAGTTTTTGATCGGTATCTTTAGTTATAAAATTTTTGAGGTCCACAGTGTTTATAGAGTTCGATTTTATTTGTAGTTCTTTTTCTACTGTCACGCCTTTTGAAAATTCTTTCGTGGTAGTAATAGTAACTTCGTCTTCATCCTTAAAACAATGTAGAAATATTTTATCTTTAGCATTCAGAGATCACACAATACTATATACCGTAAGGACGTATATACAGGATGTAATTGGGAAATGCGCATACATTAAAGTAGACAAAATAAATAATAGCCATAGAAAACATCAAGAAAAATATGAAAAACTACTATAAGCAAAGCAAAGATGGAACCATACCGGACTTAAGTATTTTGTGGAGGTATAAAACACATTACAAAAAGTTAGTTATTAATCTACGTATTTTTTTTATTTGGTGTCATCGGCATCGACTGCTAAGGTCATTAGCCTCGTGTTCTGTGTAGGCTTTGCTAATTAGAACCCAACAGTGAATGGTCGAGTGGGGCATCAGAATTTTAAATTAAATTAAAAAATCATGGCCAACGGTGGGATTCGAACCTGGGACCCTTGAATCCACAGGCAGAGACTCTACCACTGAGCCACCCACCCTTCATCTACGTATTAATAATGTTTTACGTTAACTGTCCTGTGACATTCTTGGTCTACAGTAATAATTCTTACACGGCAGTAGTTAGTGTCGACAAATCAAATACTACGTTTTACAATATTAGATTAGATTTGAAAGGAGCTGGACGGTATTTGTCATTTTCTACCACGGAAATTTCCCATCTATTGTGGTACTTTGTTATTTAGAGTATGTCCTCTAGCTTGGTCTTTTTTATAAGACTTATATAGTTACATGCTTCTGGTTTTTCTTTACCTAGTAATAGAAACCTCTATCTATCCAGGACTTTGCATCAGTGCAAGACGTGGATTCATGTTTTCTCTTTTTCTCCGCAGAACCTGCTGAATGTTTGGTTCCTTAATGAATTCTTTGGCCAGTGTCAATCCTGAATAGTTGTTACCATTTCTAAAACTCTTTATAGTCGCTACACCATTCCTAAAACTGTTTTTGCATCCATTGTTTGATGGATGCCTTACACAATGCCTTTACAACTCCGCAAAAGTTGCCTGGTACCTACGCTAAGCTAAGGTCACTTTGTTTCGACTACTAAGCTCTGTCAGGTCTTCTAGGCATTGTTTCTTGATTTTTTTTTTGAAGCTATTTGAATATCAGTGTAGATAGCCAATGGTTTTGCCTGATACTTGCCGATTTATTATTTCTTTTGCACAGTGCTGCATCAGTTCAGCCTGGCACACTGTTGCGTATTATTATAGACTCTCCTAGACTTACCTTCACAGTTTTGGTTACCCATGTCACTGAGTCATAGGTCTTATAACTCTTTTGTGTAACCATATTATGTATAACCATGATGTCATTTTAAATCCAATATGGCAAATTCCCAAAAATGGCGACGTAGTTATTTTTTATGCTCCCCCTTGATATGGTTATCAATTAAAAGGGTTTGCTGAGACGAATACGAAAAAAAAAAACGTCACACTAAATTCAATATGACGGGCACCCCAATATGGCGGAAACATTTTATTATCTACCATAATGATATGGGTATCAAATGAAAGGGTTTGTTGAGAAGAATACGAAAATGAAATGACGTCACTCTAAATTCAATATGACATACCAGTATATCATTGACCAGGACATGGCTACTGCCCTCAGGGTTAGATTATTTTTCTTTTTAGATTATTTTAATAAAAACCTATTTTTAAAAATGTTTTTTACTAATAATTTATTCAGCATGACTTCATAACAAAAATCAGGCTTGAGGTAGCAATGTCAAATCATAGGTCACGTGGTATACCCATATCGTAATAAAAAACAGGCAGGCAAAGGAGGCGGTCCAGTTCCGATAATTGATTTAGGAAACAATATTGTATATATGTAATTTTCGTTGTATTTTCTTCCAAAATTCCGTAATGCGCATGCGTGAAAACACCCTGTATATAGGTACCCAAGTTGAATGAGTGGCAAAATAGTATTTCTAGTAACATTATCAAAAAGGGAAAATAATTATCCTTACATCATAAAGAAGATTTTGCAGTAAAGTCTTGAAATTTTTATCCTCAAAATTATTTTGTATAATGATATTTCCCTTGATTTCTAAATTTTTAAAATTAACATTTGACATAATTCGGTTCACTTCTTGTAAAGTTGGATTGGAAAGAAATTTGTCGACATTTTCTCCTGAAATTTTTCCTTCAACCTATAAAAAAATAAGAATGTTATCCATAATATCTCAAATTGAAAACAAAAACTGTAAGTCTTAACCACAGAATAAATTTATTAAGCAAGAGTGGATCGTGACTAGTTTTGGTCAATGACCATTATCAGGACTGTAATTTTATTTTTATATCTAAACTTGAAATTGTTAAAAAAAATTCCGTCAATTTGGAAGTTATTATTACATCAACTCCAATGGTATCTACTTTTTGATATTATTATTTCTTATAGTATTAGATTTTTTGGCTTCACCAATAATTTGTCATTTAGTGACAGTCCTATTAGATGCCATATGTCACTTTTTCAATTTTCGTAAGAAAAAATTTATATTTTCTACTTCCTGGTACCATTTTGTAATTTATTTAATTTCACGTGGGTTCGTTCGCCGTAACATATTGTGTGTGTTTTTCCACCATTGCTTCAAGTTATCAAAATCTTTTAAAGATCACTATCGATCCATAAACAATTTCAAAGATCGATCTGGCAAAGTTCGCGATGGAAGTATCTTGTTATATTGATTCGCTAGCATGTAACCCCTAGGGTCACCTACACGATTCTGGTCCCATTACGTCTGACACAGGAGATACTGAAGACAACTTACAGAAAGCTGGTGGATATATAAAGCCGACCGAGAAGCCCAAGTGACAAGCATCCTGTAAAGACGATTGCCGGAACAGCGCCTGTTAGCAAGATTGATAAGTGTTATTAAATTTATTTAATAATGATGCTTTAAAATACGATTTAGATTTGCGAATATTTTATATATTCTCTATTTTTGGCGATTTATTTTATTTTTCTTGTTCTAACCAAACTTGGTTTTCAAAGTGTTTAACAACATCTCTTTCAGGATGGACCGCCAGGTCCGCCGCCTAGGCAAACGAATAAAAGCATTAAAACATTAAGAGAAGATATGGAACAACTGGAGGCAAGATTAGCCGAGATGATTACTGAAAACAGAATCATAAGACAGCGACAGATGATACCAATGTAATGAAAGCTCGCATTACACACCTCCGACACGAGAATCAAACATTAAAACAAGAAGCAGCCGGTGTTGCAGCCATGGATTTTTCGGTGAACAAAAAATCATTTGAAAATGGGGACGAAATCGAAAACGAAGAGGAAGAAGAAAAAATGGAAGAAAGCGAAGACGAAAATAAAGATGACTACCTTCCAGTTATTTCCAAAAACCAGCGGAAGAAGATAAACAGACAGAAGAGAAAAGAAGCTTTTCATAGCAAACCGCAGTAGGAAACAAAGGTCAAAGGCCAGAGAACTGACGAAAATCCACGTCAACCTGATGAACCCCAACATACAACCCAAACAAAGACAAAATCGTGCCAATTTAACTCGACTCCAAGAGCTGGACGGAAGTAAGTACTGCACTAATAGAGCAGCAGATCACAATTGGAAAGGTACTGTTCAGAAACGACGAAGTAAGAATATGGCTAACAAACTCAGATGACTACAGGAAAACCACTGCCTATCTAGAAATGATAGGTAGTAAGTTCTACTGCAATAAACCAGAAGAAGACAAACCGTTTAAAGCGGTTATACAAGACTTACCGGAACACACGCCGGTAAACAAAATCTTCGAAGAACTCACCTATTTTGGACTAAACCCGATAAAATTATAAGGAATGATTTCAAGGAGACAAAAAAGATAACTCCTTATGTTTCTCGTTGCTATGAAACCCCAAGAAAATAATCTTATTAAGGAATTCAACAGATGTCAAAGATTACTGGTTCGAGTAGAATCATTAAAACCATCAATAGGTCCTACCCAGTGCTATAGATGCCAGGGATTCCACCATACGCAGTCAAATTTCCGAATGAACATCAGGTGTGTAAGATGCGGAGGAGACCACCAAGCAAAAATATGCACAAGACAAACGGAGACCAAATCGACTTGCGCAAACTGTCATGGACCGAACCCAGAAAACTACCCAGAATGTCCAAGAATACCCAAAGCCATTACCATAACAGCTCACACTGTTCCCGGAATGAGCTATGATTCGACAACAAAACCTCCAAACCCGATTATGACAAATACTTCGAATACAACTAAAAACCCGATCATGACCAAGCCCCAAAAGGCGACAAAAAAGCAGGAGAATAATCAAAAACTCATGAAAGAAATAAATGACTAATCCAGGAGAATATGCTGTAAACACTACTTTTCGACAACAGATGACCAAAAAATAACACACGATCGGCCGTACTTCGTTGACCCGGCTCGTACCACTTACGGTGATACGCTGGGCTCACCTTGAACGGTCACAGAACACGAGACTCAGTAAACGCGAATGCCAAACACAAAGATGGCGACAGATTTAAAAGCTTATCTAAGAATCTGCTAAATGATGATTATATGTCAACTGTCATGCCCTTTATAAATATGACATAAAAATATGATGAATTTTATCACTTGAGGACCTTGCAGCGGATAAAAATGCAAGGGGGTGGATGGTATAGGTCTAGCAGCTTCCGATTCAGCATACAGAATGGGAACTTACTCGACTCGGGCCTCAGTACACTGCGTGCCAGTGCGGCATTTTAGCAAGATATTGACTTGCTAGACTTCCTGACCCATCGGCAAGATACTGAATAGTCGATAATCCTTCTCCTCGTTCGCCAGGGTATTGACCTGTCGGATATAATTACCCGATGCGAAAGATACTGACTTTAGTACCCTCCTGTATCTCCCGTCCCTAAGGTACTAACTTAGGGATACTTCGTCCCGTTCAAGGTACTGACTGAACGAGCTTCCAGAAATCCGACTACCGCACATACCAATGAACTGGAGTGGAGTAAAATGTTTGTCAATAGCTTGAGATGCGATTCTATGGGCGCAGCCATATTATTTTTCATCTCACTCGGGAGTATTTATAATAACCATTTTCTATTTTACATTGATCTGTGGACTGAACAATAACAATGTGAAACAGAAAATTGCTATTATAAATACTCCCGTGTGAGATGAACAATAAAAATGGCTGCGCCCATAGATATTGATACAACATGTATATTGGCATTCCACTCCAGTTCATTGGCACATACTAGACTCGACCTTCCTCCCGACCGTCCGAGCATGATATGCTGGAGCGCGTTCAGGAAACACGCTTCGACCAAAAAGAGCGTGCTCAATTTGCTCTTGGTTCGTTCAGGAACAGTAGAGCGTTCAATTTGGACATTTAGCTACTCTCGTTCAGAAAGTCGAGTCAAATTAGTCTAGAGTGCACTCTTTTATACCCAGTTTGGACTGGGTTAATTTAAGTAAATTTGACAGAACGTAAAGTTCTTTTGCAGAAGTTGTTGTTTCATATTATTTTTGTGTCATAAAGGAATTTTATAAGGTTAAATTTGTTTTAAAATAAATAATCTAAAATTTCTTGTCTTATTGACTTTATAGATCATTCATTATAATCTCTATTATAAATAGGGCTGTGAATAGGTATATATTGAAATAAAAAGAAAGAAAAACAGCTTAAAAAAATTAAATGAGTAAAAAGTAAAACTATACGTGACACGAGTAACAATAACAACGGGAAGCGAGGAACATCAAACATATAAGGGAATAAAATGTCTATAAACAAATAACTGTAAAAAACTATAATTTTCAAATTCGTTGACGTTTACTCTCGTTGCCGTTCAGAAATTTTGGGCCAATGAGAATTACTCTAGAGTAGTCTGGGCAAACAATCTAAGAAAATTAGTCTACTCCCGTGTAAAGTCATCTGAACGCGCTCCTGCAGGGTTATTCTACTAAATTTATAGCCCGGCTACAAGTTGGATTTTGGCTTGAACTTTATATATTCCTACTTCAAAATCCAACTTGTAGCCGGGCTATAAATTTAGTAGAATAACCCTGCTGGAGATCTCTGATTTCGAATATCGTTTGTTAGGATACAATAAGGCGACCGTCCTCTCGACGACAAACAAAGCGTGGTGACTCCCGCCCGGATCATCCACGCAAAACGTCACTAGGAGTTATTTTAGACACATTTTGTAAATAGTATTTTTAGAATTAAACTTTATTTTATATTAGAATCCTGTCTCTGATTGTACAACCCTACCCAGTGAAACGTAACTACCCTTACGGGAGGTGACACATCCAACCTTAACATTACCTGAGCTATTTGCGCAGCCACTTACGCTAGATTAATTTCTTCACCCATTTACTAATATTTTATTTTATTTATTGATACCGTAGGGGTCATATCTTTCATTGAATATTCTCAAAAATATTATTTTAATAACACTTGCTGACTTTATTAATAATACACATTTCAATTAATTGTTCATCACTCTACATTCACGATTGTCACTTGTTACTGTATCACTTTTCTCATTATTACTAATTGTAATTTCTAACATTTTTTACTTAAATAATTTTCGTAACTTACGATGAAAGTTTTATTTTCTCATAGAGCTTATTACTTGTTATACAGGGTGTCTGTAAAAGACCTTTACAAAAACATACCACATATTCCTTAGACCAAAATAAGTCGATTTAAGTAAAATTACCTTAGTACAAAGTTGCTTCGTTTGGGCTCCAGAGGGCCTTGAAGTTACAATTTTAAATCGTTTTTCCCATATAAATTTAAAACGGCATATGCGATTTTGCTGAAATTGGGTATATTGGTAGAGTTTTATGTGGCAAAAAATGGTATTAAAATTTTGTCCGATAATAATACATAGGCGCAGAACTTGATTTTTTAAATAATTGCACCTTTAAAAATTCTACGCCAATGGAAGAAAAGGAGTTTGAGTATGAAATTTGGATTGGGTACTCATTTACTACAAAAAAGTACCCTTGATAACACTCGATTTACTCTCATGGTTTTGAAAAAGTTTGTATTTTAATAATTATTGTTTGTTCTAAAATTACTAAAATGCAAATTTCGTCAAAACCATGAGAGTAATCGAGTCTTATCAAGAGTACCTTTTTTAAAGTAAATGAGTTGCGCAATCTAAATTTCATACTCAAACTCCTTTTCTTCCATTGGCGTAGAATTTTTAAAGGTGCAATTATTTAAAAAATCAAGTTCTACGCCTATGTATTATTATCGGACAAAATTTTAATACCGTTTTTTTTTTGCCACATAAAACTCTACCAATATACCAAATTTCAGCAAAATCGCATATGCCGTTTTAAATTTATATGGGAAAAACGATTTAAAAATTGTAACTTCAAGGCCCTCTGGGGCCCAAACGAAGCAACTTTGTACTAAGGTAATTTTACTTAAATCGACTTATTTTGGTCTAAGGGATTTGTGGTATGTTTTTGTAAAGACCTTTTACAGACACCCTGTATATCATATATTAGTTCAGATCTTTTCCCACAGGCCTAATAATGGTCATTGACAGAAACTAGTCGCGCTCCATCCCTGTTCAATAAATTAATTCTGTCGTTTTCCTTTTCCATAAAAAATAATAAGTATGGCCACGAAAATAACTATTTCACACCTAAAATAGGTTTACTTACATCTAATTTTTCGGTGAGTTCCAAATGATTTAAAGTAAAATTTTCTATGACTTGATCTGTAGATAATGTCACTAGATCTTCGGTATTTATTCCATTAATGTTACCTCCAGATCTTACATCTTCTGCTATCAAACTTTTGAATATTTTTTTACCTAAAAATTATTTGACTAAATTTTCTGCTAATACTCTAAATTCCCTTTTATAAATGTATGTATCATTACAAGATCATTCTTAATAATATTATTTTATTACCAATAATATTTCCATTTGATTCTGAATTCAAAAAAATATATTCTTCAGGATACTTCAGACCATTCAAAGTGTCAGTGTTCACAACTTCAGCATGTATTTTCTAAAAAAAAATATCCAAAATATAAGAATCCTTTTTAAAAATAATAATTTTAATCTAGATGTATTAAAACATATCGAATAATTTTTTTCAAACCTCTCGTATCTTAACTGTCCCAGGTATATAGCAAACTTTATTTATCATACACAAACTATGTAAGAATGCTGTTAAATTTTCTCCATTTATGAAAGTTACTGATAAATTATGAGGGATTAAAAGAGAATCTTCCAAATCATCGCTCAAATTTCGTTTACTTTTTGTGTTTTTGGCACTGGATACTGGTACTAGATTTATATTGTTCATTCTAGATGCCTGTAGATTTTCTTTTATCTTGATTTGCTCAAATTCTAAAGTTTCTACAATACAAAATAACTTTTTTAAAGAACTATAACATTTTGCTCGTTCTTGAATAAATAAGAAGAACGGTGTGCACACTAAACATGAGTTAACGAATGATCGAACATCATGTTGTAAAAATTAAATTTTTATTAAAATCAGGTTGAGCGCAGTCGATTTGACAAAGCTGTCATTATATTCCTTGTCTAAAAGATACCAGTATGGTAAGAATTAAATAAAATTAACATTTAGAAATATTCGTCGGTATCTTTTAGTTGACAGCAATGATATTGGCCCTGTAAAAAAAATTTTTACACAGTGATGTATATTCTTTATCTTTTTCTTTATTTAACTAAATATTTACATCTTATGTGCAGTACTTTTGTGTTAAAATAAAAATTCAAATAATATACGAAAGTAATTTTGGACACAAAATGGACTAAAGATTCATTAGGGCATAGATTTCTCAAATATGACTCGATATCCGTAGCCTAAGAGCGTATTACATTTGTCCAAAATTCAATAGTTAATAAGTTAGGGGCAATAGTAAATTTAAGCGTGTAGAATAAAGAGCATGTTGAATAAAATAATGTAAGGTATTTTAAATAAAAAAAAAATATTGCTAACAAATTTAATGAAAGTTTTGAATCAAAATAACCCCCTGCTGACCCACAACATATTCTTGCTCTTCTAATAATTAAAGACGTAGTACTCTGAACAATATCTAAATAGCTTCGTATGGATGCAGCTTCGGAGGCCAGAGAAACGACTTCCTCTTCCAATCTATCGATTAGCAAACTCGATATTTAAATATTCTCCCACATTTGCACCAAATTGAGTTTGTGCGCCATCTTGTTGAAACCGCATGTCAATTTTAGGTTGAAGTGGAACATCCTTCATTAATCCTGGCACTCATTTTGTAAAAAAAACTTAGATAATGCTCGGATATTGAACGTGCTCTTTAAATAAGAAGTTCATTAAAAACAACATACTACAACGAAATGGGATGTTGAAAATGCGTTTCCATGGTATCAAAAGGGTTCTCAAATCCCTATGAATATGAATTTCTGGTATTCGTAATTCCATCTCTAGTAAATTGTCCGCAAAGCTGTTGGTGTGCAATCAACCAACGCCAAAAAACAACATGCGCTACATAGTCTGGTTGTAAATGTTGGAACAGATTGTATGTATGTGGGTACAAACCAAAATTGTGTAATGTTTTCCACACTTTCTTTCGACTAACATAAACACCATTAGATATTCTTCGTACACTATAAGAGGGACTATTTTCTATTATGTTAAGAATAACTTCTTCTTCGGCAAGATCTTGCTGTATGACGTTCTGCAGTTGCTTTAGGAAAATTACATTTTCCTGTCAAATGACGATACAAATTTATGAACACTTACTTTTATTGGGTATTTTTCGATCAGGAAAGCTTTACTGATATTCCTACCCTGACGCTTATGCTTTTCAGTTACAATATCCATAAATAAAGTGAATATCGGCATATTCTTAATTTGAAAATGTAGCCATATCAAAGTAATCTTAAAATTACAACTTCAAAGAATTATTTAATGTTAGATTTAGATTTACTGTTAGATTTACTGTTAGATGTACTATTAGATTTACTGTTATATTTACTGTTATATTTACTGTTAGATTTACTGTTAGATTTACTGTTAGATTTACTGTTAGATTTACTGTTAGATTTACTGTTAGATTTACTGTTAGATTTACTATTAGATTTACTGTTAGATTTACTGTTAGATCTACTGTTAGATTTACTGTTAGATTTACTGTTAGATTAACTGTTAGGTTAACTGTTAAATTTACTGTTAAATTTGCTGTTAAATTTACTGTTAAATATACTGTTAAATTTACTGTTAAATTTACTGTTAAATTTACTGTTAAATCTACTGTCAAATTTACTGTTAGACGCGACGACACTGGTTTATTCCTACTTTCGACGGTCAACTAGGTACTAGACTAATTTTGTTGCATACATTAACGGTGTTATACAAGTATTTCTCAAATTATTATGAGATACTATGGGAGGATTATATAAGGATTGTTTATGGACATAATTCGGTATTAACTTAACATTAGGCTCTAAAATGCACAAACGGTTTTTAAAATTACATTACGAAAGTATAAATACTTTTTTAATGCCAGTTAATATAAATTAAATGTGTTTTTCTCGTTGCAACTATCATAGTTGAAGGTGACTTCCAGAAAAGTATGCAATTAATTAAATTGTGACAGCAGTGTAGAGCAAGCATCAAAGACGTAAATTCTGATTCAATCATAAAACGCAAGCTCGCTCCTCAGATAAACAAACTCGCACAAATTATTCCCACTCAAATTAACAGCCGTCTCGTTCTTTTTAATGCGGCAGCCTATACGACAGCCGATGCAACACCTTTGTCTGCATAATATAAAACACAATCGAAATTATTTGTGATAAATAAGTGCTTAATTATTAATTAATTGATTAATTTAGTAGTTTAGTAGTTTTATTCTCAAATTATTGACCAAAAATAGATAAAACTAGAGTCAATGCAGGTCAAAGATCTTTCGTGAGGCTTGAAAGATTTACCAGTAAAATAAAAGTTACTAATAGTAATTAATATTGAAAGTTAACAACGGTTTTTTATTATAATTATTCGAAAATGCAAAAAAGCAAGCTTATAGCTTGAAGAAATAAATAGCAACGTTTTTAAAAATTGTTTTAAAAGATATTAGAAAAACTTGCAACTGACTATACACGATTGTCATGTATAATGTATCGAATCAGACCAGGTTAGAGGAGCCACTACTTAAAGCAAAATGGACGAACATTAATTTCACTCAATACCAATTACTCAATGTATTTAGATTTCTTTTATCATGCAAAGCTGAATCCAACATAACTTTTTTGGTCAAGAAAAACTTAGGAGACAGTTATTGTAAAATGATTCTTTGGGATGTCATTTTTTTAAAGAAAATTATAAATAATCATACAGAAAATGTGATTTACCTTCTAGTTTTTGTCCTAATATTACAGCTTCGTTCTCAAAATAAATATCATTGATTTGTTTCGTGGTAATATGAACGTGTTCTAACATTGCAAATTGGTTAAAAATGACGGTCCCATTTAAGATAATCTTAGGTTCATCTTTAAAAGCCATGTTATCGGTGTGAATACCATTTGCAATTTTAGTATTAAGATTTTCAATTTCTAAATCAATAAATGTTTTGTTCTTCAGTTGTTTATTGATAGCTTCTTTGCTGAAATAAAAAACTGTAAGTGTAACAAATTTAATATAGAAAAACCTATTTTAAGGCTTTGAGAAAAAGTTACTTTATAATATCATTTAGCAACTGTGTAGCAGGGTCTTCGTTAATATTTTCAACATTTATTTCTTTTATTTCAACAATATCTTCAAATATAGCTTCACCATTTATAAATATCGTTTCGAATTCAGATTTTTCTTCATGTATAGCTAAATATTCTACTTTATTAAAGAGCTTATCGACTTCAAGGCCTATTTTTTCAACTTCCTGCAAATAAGGAGTCAAATTTTGATGTTCACCCACAATATCTTTTTGATCAATATTTTTTTCCGGTTTTTCCTGAGCAGAACTTAGTAAGTTGGTGATTTCTTCAAAAGTATTATTTGCTTCTTCTAATAAAATCTAAAATAAAACGTCTATAAGGTATCAAATCAAATGTTTCATTAATCACGTTTAAATAGTTATAAGTTATTGGAAAGATCAGTATACATAGGTCTTAAAAGAATAGGTACTAATATTATTTTCTATGTCATGGAGGTATTGAATTTTCGTATAAAAAAAAACAAAAAAAAAAAAAAGAAAAACAAAAAAAACATAAAAATATAAAAATGTTGAATCCTAATCATCTCAAATTTTTTTTTTCATATCGCTGGATAATTTATTAAACAATTCATCAAATCACGTATAATTTAAGTTGCCTATTAGTAGATTCAAATATATTTTCGCAGATTTTGAGACCCAATCACGATTGGAGATTCGTACCATGCGAAGACCTTTGAAAAGGTCAGTGCGAAATACAGCGTATCGAGTACCGGTAAAATTAAATTTTTGGTGCAAAACGTTCTTATCTGTAAAATTACAATAAAAAACCTGTGGTATCAAAAGCGTGGATCATCCCTTAAATATACTGGATTAAGGAAACCTCTCACGTCACCCTAGATGTAGTTTAGTTGTATTGGCCTCAATCGTTTTTCTTTGCCGTTTTGTTTTTTGAATAATTTTTTGAACGTTTATTTAAGAGGCTTCCATACCTATAAAAGTCGTAATTCAACTATACCTCTTGAACGAAAAATGCAATCGTAACGCGATTTTTACTAAACAAATCAGGAATGTCTATAAAATGTCGCGTTTAGATAAAAAAATAAAATTTAAAAATTAAGAAAAAAAATGTTTTCTTTTGTTTTAAAAATGGCTTTCCGACATTTAGGACAAGATTCTAGAGCAAGTTTAAAAGGAATTACAAAAATGCATAAAACTGTTTAGGCCGGTACGCATATTTACACATCCTCCTATATGACGGCACCGGAGTGCTGAAATCTGTTCGCCTTTGTAACCTACAAGTACGCTACAAAAGCTCATTGATTAAGGCACCAATGCATGAGGCCTCTCTTATTGCTGGAATCAGTAAGCAAGCTTATCTGCATTCTATGAAACAATGGCTGTACTTAAACTGCCGTTAAACGGTCGTGTACTAAAATGCCGTTAATAGACATGATGTCATTCAAATGACGCATTTGAAGTGTTTTGGGATTAAAAAAAAAGAAAATATACAAGAAGAAAACGAAGCAACGACTTCTCGTAGGGTGGCGGCGAAGCCGCCACCAAAAAAATTTAACCCATACTTATGGCTACGCCTACCGGCATAGACGCCAACGGCCTGGACACAGCTCAAATTGAAAAGAAAAGTCTCACATAACATAAAACTTGTATGGGTGTCTAAATCAATGAGCTTTTGTAGCGTACTTGTAGGCTACAAAGGCGAACAGATTTCAGCACTCCGGTGCCGTCATATAGGAGGATGTGTAAATATGCGGCCGGTACAGTCGCCTCGCGATCAACCCGTAAAGCTCAAAAGCCCGCCCAGATGCATTCGATGCAACAGTAGCGAGAGATATTAAATGAGCTTGCGTTTTAATAAATAGCTTGGTGTGATCGTTTAGCATTTACTGACGACTGTTTTCTTTGTGCTAAAGTGTTCATCCAATACTTTGTAAGTTTGTGTAATAAGAATAAAAAGTTATACAAAACATGAGTATTCTAGCGAAAAAAGAATAAGACACCGTCGAAGAACTCCAAAAACTAAGCCGTGCGTACATTTAGCTTGCTTTTTTTAGATAGCCCTTACTCTAAAAATTTACTTTTATTATAGCGTTTTTAATAATGACGAAGATCATGGTGAATCCGTCGCGAATTCATCAATTATTGAGACTTTCGACCACGAAAGGTATTTAAACAATGAAATCGAGACTAACTATTGGTTTTCTTAATATTTTAGCTCGGCATTGGAAACACTGTCACAGGAGGCCAATATTCACAGCACCATGAAGTTTCTGATTCTACATGTGAAATATCCAAGCAAAGGTAAATAAAAATGTGCTGATTAATTGCAGCAGGTTTAATTTTTAATTAGAAAATAAATGTTAATTAAAAAACGTGGGAGAGGGATATATTGAAATATGTTTTCTCTTTCAGTGACTTGATCATGATGTCGAGATAAAGATATAGTAATACTTATTCGATTAGAAAACTAACTAAACGTAGCTTTTTCCATTCTTCTGAAAATCTACAATTTTTAGGGCTAAAAAGAAGCAATTCTAAAAACATGCCGTTTCTCCACCTCTTGGAAAAGTGGTTGAAAATAACTCGCAAAGACTTCGGTAGTCTATTACGTCTGCGGTGAATTATAGAATAAAACAAAAAGGCACAACTGTTGTGGAAAAAGTGACTGGACTATGCAGCGACCTAAAAAATGTGTGCTCTTATGTATTTGGAGAGCATAAGGAATGTAAAAGCATTGCATCTTTCAAGTGCTCTCCTGACGAAAATATAAAAAATTTCATACTCTTCATGAAAGATGACATAGAACTTTGTTTTAATAGGCTTATTGTACATGTATACAATTTAATTACAAACCTGGACAATAACGCTGCTGAGCAGTATAACTCGGTAGTTTGCAAATTTATAGGTGGAAAATGAATAAATTTCCCTCTGAGAGGCTCTTATTAATTGAGAAGCTGTGAAGCTGCTGCATTGTCTTTTAACGCGACTGGAAATTATTATAAATTAATCGGTGCAACAAATTTAAACTTTATAAAACAGTACAGAAAAAGGATTTTAAAAAGAAAATCTCGTCCTATTGCTAAAAAGAAAGGGATAAAAGCAATGGCGCTTCCTGATAGCGAATATGGCCTCAACGCAAATCAGGAACCGGACCTCTGTATCAAGACCAATATGAGGAAAAGAAGTTAACATTAATTTCCAAAATAAAAAAGGATAAAACTGAAATACTAAAAATTGAAAAAAACACCAAAGGTCAGGCAAAAAATCCACTGTGGAAATCAGAGAGAATGTGCCGACTTACTGCTTCCCATTTTGGCGAAATTTGCATAATGAGGAAAGACACTTCGTGCGAAAACAAAATTAAAACTATACTGTATACCACATTCAGCGGGTATAAAAGTACCAAGTATGATCAAGAACATGAGCTGTCAGCCATAAAACAGTTTGAGGATGAGTACATAGCAAAGCTGGGACGAATCCTCAAAAAATTAATTCGAATCACGAATCCGAATCACGAGATAATAAAAAAGGGTTCGAATCAAGTGATTCGAATCCATTTTTTCGGATCACGAATACGAATCACTGTCAGTGTCATACCATGGTATTATGTATCCTTCCAAATCTAATATCAATATCAACTATGTGTCTATTACCACATACTTTGATAAAGTATGTGGTCTATTACGGACTATGACTTGCATACAAATGGTTGATACAAGAAGATGTTGAAAAAATAAACTTTTTTTCTTCTATAAATATGAACCATATAAAAATTACAATCTACAAAAAATATATTTTATTTTAATACAAAAAACAAAATAAACAAGCAATGAAATAAAAATGTCTTTTGGTTGGCCTTACATAGCACCAAAATTTCAAAGCTGTCGATTATACCTGCAAACAATACTAATCGTTAGACTGTACGAGACGAAGGAACGTAAGTGTTAAATTTTAGGATTTTTTTATGTTGGATATTCATTGCTAATTTGTAATGTCAAATAAGGCAGCAGATCAGCTAGGCAATTTTGAGTTAAAACATATGCCAAATTTTTAGGTTATTTTAAAGCTATTTTTTTGCTATTCGTTTTTTACAGAAGTCAAGGTACTCTGCTAGCTTCGAACGAAGTCAGCAGAGCACCTCAGTTTTTTAAGTTTTTTCGGTCGTTTTTATTGTTTTTATGAAATTTAAGTACAGGCATTACATGTTTCGGAAACACTGTTCTATCTTTTGGTGCCAGTCAATATTTAATAAAATATGGGGACAATTACAAACATTTTAAAATATCAGAAACCCCGTCTTTTGTTTTACAGCGTTTGAATGTGTATTCGAAATAATAATTTGGTTTAACACGATAAAGTAAGGAGTTTTTACAAAATTAAAAATTATTAGTGGCGTTACACACGCTGTAAAACAAAAAAGAAGGGGTTTCTGATATTTTAAAATGTTTCTAATCGTCCAAATATTTTATTATTATATATAGATACTTACAATCATGGCTGTAAAAAAGCAGCAATCGCTGGGAAAATTCTTTTTTTGTTTCTCAAAAAAGGTTTATTCCTGATAAAACTTCGATTTTTGGAAAATAACATTTTATATTGCCAGCTCAGGAGCCTCATATTATACAAAGCATTTTACGAGTAGAAGGTAAAAATGTGCCTTTTCAAAATTAAAAATTTCCAAAATCTATTTCTTAAGACCACCCGGTTTAACTAATCCAACTGGTTAAACCTGTCACTTGTTGAGTAGTAACTGGTTTAACCGTACCCTAAACGGATTTTAGCGAGACCGTGAACGTAAACGAACAAGTATAGTTTGAGCTCTTAGTAGGGATGGGCACGTCGATATTGACATCGAATGATATACCAGAAACAAACTATCGATGGCATCAAAATGACCGAAATAGAAAAAACTATATTTATAAACATCGATGTTTTTAAAACTCATACATTTAAAAGTAAGTAAAACAAAATGAGACTCTATTTATTTTATAAAAAAATACAAACAAATATAAACATTCCAAATGTTATAATAAAACAAAGCAAAACTAAGAAAGTTATTATTTTTTAATAAATTTACATCAACAGTTATCCAAAATATGCAAAATATGCCACGATTAAGCCGGTGATGGTTACAGTTAAACCAGTAACGGATAAACCAGTGACGGGTTTAACTGGTCATGGTTACGGTTAAATCGCCGAATCCGGTCTAACTGGTCCGGTTCGACCGGTTCGGTTTGATCAGAACGGTTAACCGGATAATCTGATTGGTTAACCGGATAATCTGACCGGTTGACCGGATAATCGGCCCGGTTAACCGGATATTTGGACCGGTTAACCGGATATCCGGACCGGTTATAATAATAGTAAAAATCCGGTTAAAACCGGAACCAGTCAAAATCAGTCGGACCAGTTAACCGTTTATCAGGAATTGACAGCCTTAGTTTCCACCATGGCCTTCATCAAACGGCGAGGCGTATCCGGGGAACTATAATTTAGACATGAGCCACAATAGATGCAACTGGGTCGCAGTGAAAGGCGATAATGTTCATCCCACTAATTTTTAACCTAATCTAATCTAGTACTACTAACCCCGCTAATGTTTTTGGTGTATTCGTCATTTCTCTGTAGTTAGATTGTATCCCTAAATATTTCTGTATCTTTGGTAAATTTGATTAAACTCCTGACCAAATATTCTTGATACTCTCTTTTTGCTTCTAAACCGAAAATATTTGTGTAACACATAGCTTACGCTTCTTAGTAACAGATTATGTCAATAAAATTTTAACCATCCTGCAATAACTAAATGGAACAATAACACATTCAAAAAAGTCTATATGGAGTAAAGTATAGAAGGTAAGAAAAGAACAGAACTACCAATATGAGAAAAGAATGTAGAGACAAAAACTTAAATAAAATAAAAAATGCACAATGAATTACAAATAAAAGTACACTGTCTACTTGACTGTAAGACCGTGTCAACCAACTTTATTAAAATTGGTACAAGAAAAATTTTTTTGATGAAAAGTACTGACTTACCTCTAACTTTTTCCTAGTTTCTATTAAATTCGCAACTTCCTGTTCTCTGGGATGAGGATTTTGTTTAATTTTTGTATCAATCATAAACAATATAAAAGTGTTTTTAGATTTCGGTACAACCAAGCCTATTTTATCTTCTATAACTAAATAAGTAGAGCCTAAAATTCCAGTTTCGGTTAGACAAGCCATAGTATCCGTGGTTTCTTCAAAAAATGAACAAGGTATGTCTTCATGTTCTTCAAATTTACCTAAAAGTTAAGTAACAATGTTATATATTTTGCCGAAAATTTAAAAAGTGTTGAAATCAACTGTATCTTGAATAAACTTACCATTGCTGTAAGTTATGACATTAACTTCAAAAGTTTTATGTGTGCTATGATCTAGAACTCGCTGTGCCAGTATAAAAACTTCATCCCTAATAGTTTCCAATGGTACAGGCAACCAAAAGTTTACTCCTTCAAGATTGCTGTTAAAAATTTTTTGTTTAGTCAAACCGTTTTCCAAAAATTGATAGATGCCTGTATTTAGACCGTCTACAGCGAAAAAAGTTTTGAATCCAATATTGAAATTTGTAATAAATGATATTTGAGGTGTTCTGACTTTTGTGAAAAACTCAAATTTTGTTTTCGAATATTTGTAGACCGTAACCGAGTTCCTTTGGGGTATTGATAAAAAGTATTGGTTTTTAAAATTGTTGAATGCAGTCGAAGTTGGTGTAGATTCCAAAGATAGTTTTTGAAAAAACCTAAAATAAATACCTTTGTATGAACAATGAATTATAAATTTATAAAAAATAAAATTCCAAACTCAAATGTGACCAAAACGTAAAATAAATGAAAACAAGAAATTATCTAACCAATGTGTCACGGAAAACAATGCATTTGCAAATTTTATTTGAGACTGAAATCTAGAATGTGTATTTCTTGCTAATGAGTCATAATAAGTATAAAGAAGTTCAAGAATGACATTCTCCTCAAAGGTAGAGTGTTGAAATTAAATTTTGTTTGGATATAATTAAATGTCTGTTGCAATAGTAGCCAAAGGAGTAAGGGAAACAGTCGCTCGTTTTATTTTGTGAACATGACTTACAATTAGAGAATTTCTTATTTTCATTTATTATTAAAAATAGTTGAAATCACAAAATAATCTTACCATTTACTTAAGGGTTTACTTTTAATATCGAATTCATATAAATTCGCAACATTATTTTCTGTAACATAAAACAGAATATGACGTGTTCCAATTTTTAATAAATTCACATGTACAACTGGGAGTTCTACTTGCCAAGTCCAAAATTCTTGAGCCTAAAAAGATGGTGAATATAAAAAAGTAGTGCATCTTTTTTGGTAGTATAGGTACTTACTATTATAGAATTATTATTAGAAATTTTAAGCCAACTAATTTTACTTTGGTTAAAAAATGAAACCACAACTATCAATTCTGAATTTCCTTGGTTACGATTATGAAAAATAACTACATCTGATGGTTTCTGGCCTATATCTAAAAATAAAAACAGCAAAAACGTTAAATACGTAGTTAATTCAAATATTAGTTCACGGTACGTCTACCCCTGCTTTGCTTGAATGATTACTACATATTTAAAATTTCGTGAGTGGCTTCATGTTTACGAGTCTACCACACTTTTTCTCTGTGATAATTTACGGAAACGCTGCAGCGTTTTATGCTGCACGCCGCTTAAACATATTTTGTAGCTCAATTGAAATATAATTTGATAATAACACGAAACAAGGCTTGACCGATAGAATTAATTCGGCGATCGTTGAGTCCATCAGCTGCAACATGTCAAAATAACGAAGGAATGTTTTCTAATTAGAATAATCAATTTTATAAATACACCTTGACCTAATCGTTCATAGTGACCGCCAAATTTAAAGCGCGTTTTTTTCTTCTGCTGGCCTGAATATGTTATTTTTATGCTGGGTGATATGCTGATCACCATAAATATACTTACATTTTATTTTTTAAATTTTGAAATGAAGTATAAAATACACTAAAACATGTGACCGACAAAATTGATACTAACTGCAAAATAATTTTTCTCCAGAAATCTGGCTTATGAGCAAAAACGTTTTTAAAAGTCGAAATTTTAATAATAACAAATTCAGCGATGTATTACTAACAGCGAATTGGGCTGATGATGTCATAAGGTATCATTCGTCATATTATAACGTACATTTTAAAGTTTTGCTTGTCATGAACTGAAATGTATTAAAAGCCAAATGATTGAATAATTGCTCATTTATTGTACATGTTATATTTACCACATTGCTGTACCAGATGTGGAAGCAGATTAGACGTATTTTGTGACTAAAAGTCACTTTCTAATATTTTTCCCTCTTTTAGTTTCTTTTTTCCCACGATCTTAAATTTGGCGTCGATGACGACACTGGTTTGCCAACTACCATTGTAGCTATCCCGATGTAAAATCAACCTGGGGTGTTCCTTGACTATTTTTAGTTCCCTGAGCGGTCTAGAAGGAAAAGGGCATATACGTCGGTAGCGTTTTAATAAAAAGGAAGTCCAACTTTGGAAGTACGATTGTGTAACTTTTTCAACATCAAAAGCAAATGGTTTGTTCCTTGCCATTTTGAACACTTCATACCACTCTTCTGGAACTTCGAGTCTACTTTTTTGGTTAATCAAACCAAAATCCTTGTCGCACTCTAAGTATGAGTGCCCCCGTATCGGAAATGTAATTTTTACACTGTCTAGCCTTTTCTCCGCATGAACTACGTAGTGTAAAAAACGCATCATCGTATAATTATTATTTTGTCCTCCGCAGGAGTCGCAAAATATTTCAAGCTTACGTACTTTCATGTCGAGGTAATTATATAAGAAGTGGTGCAATAAAGAGCACACATTATCACTGCCTTTTTTCCCCACAGTTTCGGGATACACATAGAAAATACTTTGTGATGTAGAAAGAACATGAATGTTAAAAGAAAACGTTGACAGCTGCCTTTTATAATACACGTCGTTGGTTGTTATATTCGGGGCAGGCAGATTTTTGGCGAAATCCAAGCAAATCGCCTCCATGTCTTCAGATTGTTGGCTTTCTCTTTTAGCTTCTCTTTTTCTTTTATAAAATTGTTCAGCCTTCATTTTATGCACCTTATTTTCGTTGGATATTCGCTGTATGTCTCTGTCTATTTGACGATACTCCATCGTGTCTGTTTGCGATAAATTCAGCTTTTGAGTCTCCAAACTTTTCATTTTTGTTGGATATTCATCACACTGACTACATGTGTCAGATCTTGGATAGCCAAAGACTATATTAAAATCCTTTGAAAAAATAGTTCTATAATTTTCATAGGAAATAGGGTGATTTGGGAACTTCTGACAAAACAATGTGTACATTTTTTTTATATTAAGTTCTTCCGGTAAATATACTTTATTCGAATCATGTAAGCTGTAATGGCTTTTGCGACCTTTAAATGACTTAATATGACTTCTGATTACATTTCGAGTTTCATCAGATAGTATGTGTTTACGGTTTTTGTGCTTACCTCTTTGATCTTTTGGTGCCTCGCCCTTACTTTTTAAAGATCGCTGAAACACTTCCAACTTCTTTCGGCCAATTTCATGGATAGCCATAAATGCCTTTTGACATACTTGCACCTCTTCGGTCTTTTCTTCTGCACTTTGAAACCTTACGCGATAGCTAAAAGTAGCGTCATGGAAGACAGCGTGCTCCTCATGCTGTCTAGGCCTGCGTTGTTTAACAGGCAAAACCGAAATAAGACCACACAAATAAATATTTTGTTCGTTGACTGAACCAAGCAAATTGAAATTTTGAATTATTTTTCTTCGAGACGACTCCGGTACATGTACAAAACATTTAAACCTTTTGCACTTACAGTCTTCTCCTAGGGAATGACTTCTGAGGTTTATCAGTTTATGTACATCACTCATTTTACCGTATTTCTTTCGTTTTTTACTAGAGTTGTTTAGTTCAGACATATTCTTTCTACCTTACAAACGTAAACTTAACAAAAAGCAGCTATTTTAAACAAATCGGCACAAACAGGCGTAATAAACACTGATTAATTGATCATGCATGCACCAACTGAAAAATTTTAACCTTGTTTCAACCAACGACTTAACACCTTTTTACGTGGTTCCGCGCTGACATATCGCATTTTTTCCCTGTATGGCAAAAATAAAATGGGTGATATCTGCTGACTGTTCGCTCTTTTAGCCATGACACTTTCCAGGGGAAATGTTTACAGCTTTATCTCATAGATGGCATGATTACCTCAATTTCGATAAAAATTGACATATCGCCTTCTTTGCCTGTACCCTTCATATATTTTCCAAGTTAAAATAGGTATTTATTGAGTATTTCTGTTTTTAAATAATATTTAAGATCATTACTAATATTTGTAGAGTAAAACTTCCTGAGATATTTAACTTGCTCAAAAAATGAGATAATAGGATGAATCAAAAAACAAAACATCTGAGATTACAGCAAATAGTACGTAAACAAAATAATCCGCCTCAATTTTGCTATAAAGTCGCGACAAAAACAAAATTTTGATTTACCCCTGTATAATATTGCCTAAACGAAAATTGTTACTTATTACAATAATTTAAAAAAAATCACAATACATGTATCTACAAACTGGTAGAAAATTAATAAAAATAGGATAAAACAAAAAAATATAAAACATCAAACTTGGTCAAAATTTTAGGGTTGCGGAATTTTGTGCTGGGGAGTGTATTTCCATTAATTCTTTTACACTAATATTTTTTTATGATTATTTTTGTATTAAAAAGAAAGTTATAACTTTTCGTACAAATAATGTTTCAATTTCATTTATAAGTTACAAGTGTACTATTCATTTTTTCTATTCCGATTTTTACTGTATCGATCTACATAAGATGTCAAATTATGTGCATGTAGCTTATTAGTGTAAGAATTAATTCTTAAATATGTTAACTTATAACAAAACGTTTCCCTAAATTCAACCAAAACATTAACTTCATGAAAGGGACATATAAGTCGTCAATTTGTCTTTCGGACTGCTAAGTTAAAAATTAATTACCCTAAAACTTTTATATACAATTTTTCCTACGACCACTTAGGAAAGTGATACCTATAAGAGTCAAATTCTTAAACACATCTTAAAGCTTCCTTTACTTTAACCTCTCTTTAATCGCCCTTAAAATACTATTATTATTTAAGAAATGCTCCTTTTTTTCTTAAGGTAAGGAAGGTTCCTTTAAATAAAAGGTTACTTTAAACGGACGATAATCGAACTGTTTTTTATTGCACAAACGTTCCTTTCCGTCAAATGAATATATAAAGTAAATTGCTGACCTTGAAATTTTAAGTAAGCTACAGAGGTACCTTTAACGTTCCTTTCCCTTAATGACAATGATATTTTTGAAATATTTTTTTTAGAATTTATAGATAATATAGAAGATATCAATTTAAAAAATGCCTATTGGTAATATCTTCAAAATATCTTCTTGAAAAATTTTAATTTGAGAATACCTACGTCTTTTACAGCTGGCTTGAATTCAAATCATTTTAAAAGCACGCCGACATAAAAATATTCGATATATCAAATGTATCGTAAAGAAAGACATATCTAATTTACACCGTTTTTATACTTACTGTATAAGCTATTTTTTATTTCAAAGTCTGTTTTATTTTGATTTAAAACAGCCACTATAATCTCCAATCCCTTTTCTGATAATCCAATAGAGTAAGAAGTTGGACCAATCGAAAGACTCCTCCATTTAGTGACGTTAGATTCCAGAGAAACTATTTTTTCACTAGTTATTTTACTAATAACTAATTCTGAAAATTAATTAAAAATTAGATTAACAACAGATCTGAAATCTGTTTGACATGAAACAACTATACTGTAAAAATATATATACTAATTGACATTTTTTTTAAATATTGTAAAAATTCATTTCTCCCAACATGACTATTGTACCAGAGAGAAAAATGAACATTTAACAACTTCACAAAAATACCATTGGTCAGTGTTGTCCCAGTTAATTTGCACTTAATATAATTTATTGCCTACCGATATCAAACATATCAGAAATATACGAATATATTAAATTAGTATAATGAGCTGGATCACTAATCAAAATAAATTCATTTTCAATCATTCTATCATTATGTTTCGCAGATTGTATAAGATTTTTATTTAAAACTTTTTAATGTTATCGGTACAATTTTAAATTTTTTACACAAATTAATTTTATTCTGTTTGTATATGATTTTTATGTAGTTAAAAATGGCTTATAGTTTATTTTTATTTATATGTATGTATTTATTTAATGATATAAGATAAATCAGGGTAAATGTAAACAGGGTCAAACGGAGACATCTTCAAAATATTGACTATTAAAAGCGCTCTGTTGAATTTACCGATGTACGACTATTCCAATGAACTACAGTTGGTTGACGCATCATTATTTTATTTGTCTCCGATATACGTCAACAGTCAGCAGAAAACATAACCTGTAAAATGTTTGATAGGTATGTCGGTTTGAACACCTGTTGCAATTAAGGACATAATTTTATTCATAGAATAAAAGCGGCCATTTTTTGGTGTATTGGTAAGTAGTGTAAAGCTGTTATTCAGATTAGTTTAACCTAAAACTCTTTAGAATGCATTGTACATTGTCTTCAATTACCCCTAAAAATCAGTATTTAGAGATAATTGTAGGCACACTTTCAGGGTAAATAGGGACGTGTCCCCATTTGTTCCAAATGGTTTTGTAAATTTGACTCAAATTATATTTCAATCGTTTTGCAATTTGCTTACAGATAAAGTCAGTCAAATAAAGCATTATGGTAAGAATGTATATCAAAATATACACATAACCAAACTTATATGGAATCATCTATTAAGTATTTTTCATAATTTTTGAGATGTATGAACATTTTTTGTTTATGAATAACACTCAGTCCTTAACAAAGACTTTTAATGACAAATGACCCACATGACAATAAAAATAATCCATTATTTAACAAAATAAACACAATGGTATTTTTTTGGTTTCTGAAACGAAATGAGAATTAAATTTTTAATAGCCGAAAAATAAAAACAAAAAGAGGATTGGTAATTTTAACAATCCGTGTTACCACTTCTAGTCTTTATGCAAGCGTCTATTCGCTTTGGCATTCTTCTTATTAAATGGGCCCGTTCACTTTCATTTTTGAATGTGAATTAATTATATATTTATAAAGATATTAAACTCTTTTGTCTGGTGGTACTTTTCCCGTTAAGATATTTTTGCTAGAAGTAAGGGAATTCCCATAAAATTCTTTCAGTGACTCATTGCGTCAGAAAATCCCTAATTCCGATCACGTCTCGTACCGGTTATGCTTAAAGACGGCGAGGTTGTCGGAAGTATCCCTAATATAGCATTTCTGCATTTATATATGTAATTTAAATAGTAAAATTCCATTATTTTTCTAAAAATCATGAACTTATATTTTCAGATTTAAAGCTGGGAGCTTATTTTTTACTTTTTAATTAAAACAATTATTATTACTCAGGCTGAAAATTAACCAGACCATAATCAAAAAGTAGAAATTTGATTTGCAATATTTATCTGGTAAACGTGGCAACGTTGCATTTATTTCTAGAAGTGTGTGTAGACAACACTATTTAGAAGTACTTGCAACGTTGTCACGTTTACCAGATACATTTTCTCAAATAAAATTTCGATCTGGTAATATTCAGCTTGAGTAATGCTAATTGTTTTTATTAAAATTTAAAAAAGGTAAGGCTTCCAGATTTATCTGAAAATATAAACAAATTATTTTTAAAAAATAATATATTTTTATCATGTAAATTTCTTTAATAAATGCAGAAGAGGAATGAATGGCGGTGCAATGATACATCCGACAACCGCGCCCTTTTAACTATTAACCGATACAAGACCTGAAGGAAATTAGGGGTTTTCTGACGCAATGAGTCACTGAAAGAATTTTATGGGAATTCCCTTACTTCTAGCAAAAATATCTTAACGGGAAAAGTACCACCAGACAAAAGAGTTTAATATCTTTATAAATATATACATAATTCACATTCAAAAATGAAAGTGAACGGGCCCATTGTCAACATTGTCTTGCGGTATGTTTTCCCATCCTGCTAATGCTGCATCAATATGCTGTGCGTCATTTCCCTTTTTTGAAGCAATTTTTGAAGAGATTCATGTTGGAAAAATTAAAAAATTGTTATTTTTCTCTTTGTTATTAACAATTTACTTAGGTTAAAAATTAAAAAGCTTGATTAATCATTGAAAAAAAAATTTTTATTTATATTTTAGTATTAATCCATATCATCAGAAGCCACATGAAAATGATTTTTAATAATTTTTATTTCCTATTGTTTAAAAAATTATTAAAAACAAATGCGTTGTTTATAAGATAATTTAAAAAAATTTTTGGAAACCTAATCTTTGATGCAAATTATGATTTTTAAAATAATTTTTTGTTGCTTAAAAACGGATTTGTTAATTAACAATTTTTTTCCACTTGTAATTATTATTAAAGAACCATTTTTTTTTAATCATAATTTACCTTGCTCTTTGATAACTAAAAAAAAATTTTTTTAATTTTCATTGTTTATAAATAAACAATTTTTTATAAACAATTAATTTTTTTATTTTTCTACATGATGAAAGAAAATTTATTTATATTTTTATCGAATTCTTTAATTGCCTTTAGCTGTAACTAAATTTCCTGATAGTTCTTTTTTATAAATAAATGCTTCTAAATTAAATAAATAATTGGGTAAGAGCTTGAATTTTGGGCTTAATTTATTCTTTAATTAATAAAGAATAAATAAATCTTAAGATTTTTCATCATATCTTAATTAGTTTATAAGTTACATTAATTTAAAAGACAAAAAACCAGGTGAGAATGGTAGAGTTACAGCTAAAGGTAATTATAAAATTCGATAAAAAATAAAAATAATTGTTTTTTTAATAAATTGAGTGGAAAACAGTATTTTTTTTTCTATGAAGCTATTGGTTTTGGGAAAAAAATTAAAAAAAAAAAAATTTAAATAAAACAAGGATTTCAAGTTATAAAATTATTTCATAAAACTTCATCTCGAAAAAAAGTTTTGATATGAAATAAAGTAAGGGTTGCTAATTTCACCCCCCTATAATGTAACAGGAATATTGAAAAAATAACCGTGGTTAGTCCTTTGCGAGTGCACGAAAATTACAGAATTTCAAGTTTCTAGCTTAACTGAAATTTAAAAAAAAAATAAAAACTCAATTTTAGTCACCACCTTTTAAGGGTGATATCTCGGAAAGGGGTGGGCTGAGCAAATTTTGTTATAGGAAAGATCCATCTTAATTTCATACGAACAATCACCTTCTGAATTTTGTCGCATGAATTTTGAAACACCCTTATGTTGGTATATTAAGGTGAATGCAGCAGCCTTTATAATTTTCGGACATATTTCAAAAAGTAATTTTGTTAAAAAATTAAAATTTTGGCAAAATAAATTGGGTAATATTAACTAGATATGCCTATATTTTAAAGTTTTAATTCCTTTCAGTTTTCGAGAAAAAAAATCAAATATGATAATGAAAATAAATGCATTCCTCAATAGCACTATTCTTAATATAATCCCGAAATTTAAACTCTTAATGTCTTGGTAATGATTTTTTAAAATTCGCCAAAATTAGTGGCTAAAACGCCTCGTTAAGTGCTGCCTTCTGGTGTAACGCGTCTGTAACTATCGTATCGTACACTCTGTCATTATTCGTTTCTTGCAACGATTTACACCAGTTTACACCAGAAGATAGTACTTAAGAGGCGTTTTAGCTACTAATTTTGGCGAATTTTAAGAAATCATTAACAAGACATTAGGAGCTTAACTTTGGGGATTATATTAAGAATACTGCTGTAGAGAAATGCATTTATTTTCATTACGATATTTCAAAATTAAAGCCCTTTTAGTTTTTTTTTTTTGAAACTGGAAGGAATTAAAATATTAAAATATATGCATATTCTAGATATTATTGCCTAATTTATTTTGCCAAAATTTAAATATTTTGAGATATTCTTGTCCGAAAATTATAAGGGGTGTGATCACCTTAAGATTGAAAGTGAATTAGCTTTAATTCATCAGATGCAAAGCATCATAATTGTCGCGCCACAAAAAACCACCTGCTGCCAAGAGAAAATTTTGATTCAACAGTATTGTATATGTTGTGCTGTAAAAGAGAAAAAATTAACATTTCGTGTTTTAATAGTTATTTTTTTAATTTAATAATCTATGTGAAAAAAAATATTTTTTTTACAGACAAAAAAAATTGTTATATTAATATACTTAGTTAATTTTACTTATATTTGTTATTCTTTTAATACAATAAATACAATTTACCTATCTTCAATTCATCACTTTCCGTATCCCTATACACCTAGGGTCCGATTACAATTAGAAGAACACCGCTACGTCATAACTATTATTTCGAATTTCCAATATACAGAGTGTCCCGAAGTTAGACGGTCATATTTTAACAGCGTAATCTACATTCTACAAGTATCAGAAATTAAAAATTTAAAAAAACCGACTTCAAAAACGTGCAGATGGCGTCACCACATCTTAACCAAATTTATATGGGACCACCCCTGAGGTACCCCCTTACTAACAAAAAAAGAATCATATAAATCGGACAAGGTGGTAAAGCATTATCGGTAAACATACATAAAAAATGAAGAGTTTGAGGATTTTCTCATGGTATCCCCTTTCTAACAAAAAAAGAATCATTGAAATCGGACACCGTGTTAAAGAATTATCGCTGAACATACATAAAAAAAAAATTTTAAATATTGCGACGAATTGAGAACCTTCTCCTTTTTTGAAGTCGGTTAAAAATAGGAGTAAAAGTTTATATAAACATAGGTCCGAAAACGTTTCGTTTTCGAGATACAAGTAAAGTCCGGATGGCACATTTTTGTAAATATTTTCTAAAATTTCTTTAGTTACCGGTTTTCCAAAGTTAAAAAAATATAAAATTTTTGATTCTACAGACCTACTAATTATTGGTTACACTTTCGAATAAGATAACATAAACTTATGAAACTTTAAAATGGCGCGTCCTAGCGAGATGCAACAAATGTAGCTTTATTATAAATAAAATATTGGTTTTCCAAATTTTATAGTCAAAAATGTTAAAAACTATCAACAAAAAAAACTTAGAGTAATTTTACCCTAAGCTCCCCCTAATTTACCCACCTATGAAGATGATCAAAAACTGGGGTTTAGTCCAATGAATAGAGCGTAAAAAGGTAAGTATTTGTACCAAATTTTACCTAATTATCTTTAAACGTTTAGAAAATATTTACAAAAGTGTGGTATCGGGAGTTCACCTTTAACACCCTGTATCTCGGAAAAGAAACGTTTTCGGACCTATGTTTGTATGAACTTTTACTACTATTTTAGGATGTAGATTACTCTGTTAAAATATGACCGTCTAATTTCGGGACACCCTGTATATCATCTATAACTATCAATAAATAAAAAATATTTGAGTTATTTGGTTTAAAAATAGTATTCCTACATTCCTATAATATTAACAAGTCACTAAACCCCCAGTAGGCGGCGATAGCCAACGAATTACTTCGCCAATTGATGATATACCTGTGTTCATGTAATTGTAATAGGACCCTACCCAACCTATGACTATTCTTCAGCGCACGACACACGACATTGTTAAATTTATGTAGCGAACAAGGTTCCAAATACTTTAAGGGGAAGTCGTTAGATTCGTGCGGTGTGACGTCAGAAGGGACTGGATTGCTCTTAATTATAATTACAAACGGTAAAAAAAAATTGTTAATTAACAAATCCGTTTATAAGCATTAAAAAAATTTTTAAGCATTGATTTTTTTTTTAAATCATAATTTGCATCAAAGATTGTTTCCAAAAAAGAAATTAAATTACCTATTAAACAACGCATTTGTTTAAAATAATTTTTTAAACAATAAATAAAAAATTTTAAAAATCATTTTCATGTGGCTGCTGATAATAAGAAAACGAATCAATAGTAATACAAATAAAAAAAATATTTCAATTAATAATCAAGCTTTTTAATTTTTAAATTGTTAATAACAAAGTGAAAAATAACAATGAAAATCTCTTCTGAGACCGTTCAAAAATTGCTCAAAAAAAAAGAAAAAATCTCAAATTTGTTATTTAACAATTATCGCACTTGCAATGTTCATGTTCAAGTAAGAAAAAATTGTTAATTAACTAATGCATAATTAATAGACAAATCGCGATAAAAATTTTTTGAATACTGATTATTGTTCATTCATCTATCCACTAGACGCCTGAATTTTTTCAATTCACAATGTTCAAATTTAATCAGTTTAAATAATATTTATTCATTAAAGGTCCACAGTCGGCGAAGCTTACGCAAACCAGTCTTAGTTTTCAGCCGTATTTTCAACCCTCTGGGAAAATTATAAATATTGGTCCTATGGTTCCGGATGATAGAACTTTTTTTTGGGAAAATTTCCTCCTTTTCTTGAATTTTCTTTTCAAATTTAGAAAATGTCAAATATTTTTTGAGATATTTTCAAAAATCAAACCCATTTTTTTTTTTTTTTAGTTAATTGTTTATAACTTTTGCAAACGGCTCTTCAAAAATCATCTACTCGCTATTCTGAATCGAATGACACCTCGTTCATATTTTTCGGAGGCGGAGAAAAAAGTTTGACCCAAAAAGCACTTGTTTACTAGACCAGATGAGCTGATTTAAAGTTTGTGGAGTACTTTATAAAATATTGTTTTTGGATTATTTAGCATATTTCTGTTATTTATGATTGAAGAAAATTCTTCAAATAAAAGTGTTGTCATTATCTATAATTTTTGTTTTTTACATGATGTCCCTAAAATGGACCGCATTGAAGATATTTAATGAAAAGTACAAAATTCATTTTTTTTTTATTTTACCGGGATCTAACTTAAATGGAAAGTCATGTGTCGGGACACATTAGATATAAATACAAAAATGTTGTTTTAAAATTTTAAGTGCCACCGATTTCGAGGTGGTTTAGGTGGGTTGTTTGCTGCTGCTTAAAAATGCTGTTTTTTTTTTTTTAATAGCGGCTTATTTTATTTATTTTGACAGACCAGCAACTTTTTAAAAACAACCTAAACAATAATAATCTAGTCACCTCATAATTTCTTCAAATTCTTCAAATCATTAATATCCGGTATCCATGAGCAGAAAAGCTATACAGGGATTTCATTTCAAAACTAACCACCCAAAATAACTTTTAAAATATCTTTAAAACAAAAAACACGTTAATTTATATTTACGGGGGGGACACATTTTACAAGTATCTGTAACCGTTCAGTTTCATCCCCTAAGCGGTGGTGAATATCACTTCTAAAATTTTAAATAGAAAAGGGTATCATGTGATAGCTCTTCTTAAAGGTCTCTTTTTCTCCAATCTTTTGACACATTATTTTTTTAAATCGGATTAATTTTTCACCAAGTTATAACTTATAACCTAGAAACCTGAAAAAATATTGAATTAAAATGCATGAGTATAAATACCGAGATAAAAAAGTTAGCAAAAAGCCTTAAATGTTTTTTGCGTAAGATATTTTTGACCGTAAATTAAAACAATTTATTATTAGTAGATTATTGGTTTCGTTGTGTACTGACAATTTAATTTTGACAATGGTTTATTCTTTACAAGAAAGAATTGTAATAATCTTTATTTATGGTGAAGAACAACGCTGTGCACGCAGAACTGCTCGTGTTTTTAATCAGAGACATCCCGATAAAAATGTTGGGCATTAGTATGTGTTGGATTTAGTTCATAAATTTCAAGAAACTGGATGTGCAATAAAACTGTAAGAAATCGTAGAGTTTTAACTGAAGCTGCACAAGTTGAGATTTTAGGTCATTTTGCCATGGAACCTCAAACATCAATACCAAAAGTCTCCAGATTAACAAATATTTCCGTTGGGTCTGTGCATAAAACGTTACGGCTAAATAAATTATTTCCTTACAAACTACAGCTTTTACAACAGCTTGCTGAGGATGATTATGACAGAAGATTAGAATTTTGCGAATTAATGACTTAAAGGGCAAATGAAGACCATAATTTTATTAAAAATATTTGTTTCACTGACAAGGCAGATTTCTTTTGAAATGGATTTGTCAATAAACATAATTGTAGGTACTGGGACAATACAAATCCACATGTTTTTCGGGAAGAGCACAGCCAATCCGTAGAAAACCAAATAGATCAAGATAGAAATTTGTTACTAGACGAAGAAAACCTATTTTTTCAACAGGACGGAGCACCTCCACATTATGCCTTGCCTGTACGAAATTGGCTTAATGAGACATTTCCAGATAAATAGATCGGAAGAAGGGGCGCTATAGAATGGCCAGCGAGATCACCCAACCTAACGCCCCTTGACTTTTTTTCTGGGGACATCTAAAAACTGTGGTGTATAAAACTCAACCTCGCGATATTCCAGAACTTAGACGTAGAATAGTGGAGGAGTGTAAGCGGATTACACCAGAGACGCTTCAAAAAGTGCGGGATGAATTCGAGCTGCGACTTTACCATTGCCTTGCCAACAATGGCGGACATTTTGAACATCTTATTTAAGTACAATGTAATTCTTACGCAAATAAAATATTGATAATGTAAATACAATGTAAATAATAATTATTTTAATTTAAAAGGTTAAAATGGCATGACTTGGTGAAAAATTAATCCGATTTAAAAAATAATATGTCAAAAGATTGGAAAAAAAGATACCTTTAAGAAGAGCTATCACATGATACCCCTTTCTATTTAAAATTTTAGAAGTGATATTCACCACCGCTTAGGGGATGAAACTGCACGGTTACAGATACTTGTAAAATGTGTCTCCCCGTAAATATAAATTAATGTGTTTTTTGTTTTTTTGTTTTAAAGATATTTTAAAAGTTATTTTGGGTGGCTAGTTTTGAAATGAAATCCCTGTATATTGCTTATCTGAACATGTATGTAAAGTCACAGAGTTAACCTTTTCTCTTTAATTATGATGGTGTGCAATTACAAGCTGTGTCCAAATCGTACAGGAAGTAAACTTTATCCAAGATTGGTCGTTATGATAAGATCAGGAAACTATAAAATCTGAAAGACTTAAACCTAATGCCAATACGAGATCCCCAAAATATTTATTTGTATGATTTGATATAGAAGATTTGGAAGTGCAGAGAAGAGACTTTTTTGTGGACCCAGTGTTAAGCAGTATTGTTCAATTTTAGCTCAGTTTTTTAGTTTGGTAAAGACTTTTTTAGTAAAATTATTCAAAATAATTGTGCTAGTAGAAGTAAGTACTTAATAATTCAATATTACTAGTTAAATTTAACTTTTACGTACCTTCACGATTTTTTTCCATGACCGAATTTTGAAATGAATCCCAAGCTTCATCTTCACATTGACACATTTTAAAACAATACAGAATTAAAACACAAATTTCTAAAATCTTAAACATTTTTTTCTAATATTTCTCTAACGATTTTCATAATTTAAAAATAAATAAAATTTAATATAATACCGTATAAATAAGGTAATTGGAATTGACTAAAGGACACGCTAGCTATCAGAAATATCTAGATAAAAATTTATTGTTAAAAAAAGTATGTTTGATATTTCAAACTAGTTTATAAAATAAACGTAAAAGCCCAGTTTACATGGTGAGTATAAATTTGCCAAAGCGAAATGTTTATTCGTGGACAAACTAATGCTGTGTTAAAGATTACGTTTGCAGAATTTTAACAGGTCTGATTTAGCTGACTCTTGAATTGTGGACTATTTATTTTTTATAGATGGATATTTCGTTAGATGTCTTCTTCTCAGTATAGAATAAATAAAGTACGAAGATAACTTACCAGGTGTTATGTAACTACCTTAATCTACTAATGTAATTATTCGGTTTTGCCAAACATTTTATTAAACTTCCTTATAGATATTACTCATTTTGTGACAAACGGACTTAGAATGCCATTCTCTCTCTCACACTCTCCCACAACTACCTTAATTAGAGTTGAGTCATACATGTTATAATAATATTAACACTCCACTAGACGGCGATAATCAATTGATTACTTTGCCAAATGATGACGTAACTGTGTTCTTCTAATTGTAATCGGACTCTACTAGGCTTTTGTGCTTCAGGAGTATGGAGGGTAGAGGAAAGGAGAACAATCTCTGTATACAAAAAGTGTCCCTTAAAATGTATACAATTAAGATGGCGCTTCTGTGCCCAGGGGACGTCGACAGTCGATAATTCAGATCACACAATGCCACCAATGATGTATATAGTAATAAATATTGCTCAGCCATAAAAAACTAAAAACTACACCGTGAAAAGTGATTGGTCGTAGAAGAGTAAGTGTTCTGTGATCGAAGATAAATTTTGACAATACACGACAATAGTCAAATTTTATTGAAAAATAATAATATAAACAATAAATAATTCTTATGAATGAGCAATCTATATGACTATATAGCATTGGATTTTGTCCCCTGGCTACACAAGCGCCATCTTAATTGTATACATTTCGGTGGCCACTTTTTAATATAAAGGTCCTCCTTTTTTTCTACCCTCCATATTCAGGAGCTTCAAATATCGAACCGCAAAATTGACGTTTTTCGCGAACTGACATTAAATGACAGCTTTGTCGCTCTCGGCTTGCCTAATTTAAATTAGCTTTTAGATAATGAAATTTATTTTTAATAAATGATTTGTACGTAGTTACATGTTTTTTTTTATATTATCCAAGTTAAGGCTGTGTTTCCCGACAAATGGCGGCAAAATAAGACATGTAAAAAACACTCTCCTTTCGTGCAGAGCTGGGTAATTACTTTAAAAATAATTACAATTACAAAGTACTTTTTTTAAAAAGGAATTAATTATTAAAACTATAAAGTACATGTTGTAAAAATAGGAATTATACTGATTTAATTACAATTACATGAAAAAAAGAATTAGCAATTACTTTTATAATTACTTTGCCGATAAAACAACAAATTATGATAGAATTGAGGAACCATAATTCAACCGGACCGGCACAAATTTTTAAATAG